ATATTCAAAGATAATTTAGTGGTCACTGATCATCATCGTGTAAAAGCAATGATCTTTTGAAGATTGTTCGGGCATACAACTAGAAAGTGTAAAATACAGCCTCAGCTGAAAGGATTAAAATATTGATATTATAGATATGATCGCAAAAAAATATCAGATAATAAACGAAGAAAAGATATTTGTAGAAAAAATTAACCAACAAGTGAAACCACAACACAAATAGTGAATAAGTTTCTAAAAAGAAGCCATTATACGGCCTTATAATAAAAAAATTCTAACGCCGAATATAATATATTGATGATCAAAGTGTTTTGCTGGTCAGGAAATCATGATTGGACAATGTAGAACGACCTGGATCATGACTGATAAACTTAGCAGCAGCACTAAATATGACAAGACAAGGTATCCTGGACCTCTTCTGATGGAAGAACAACTAGTCAGATAGATCACATTTTAATAGATTCTAGGCATGGAACAGACGTAATAAACCGTAGAAGTTATAAAGGCGCAAACATAGACTCAGATCATTACCTAGTAATCTCAACATTGAGGGCTAGAAATTTCAAACACCAGTAAAGAAAATAAAATGGATAGAAAAAATTGAATGTCTAAAAGTTGAGAGTTGCGACAATTACAGAACGGTATTCGGCAACATCACCAACAGGCTAAGGAATCAAAATGTAAATGAAGAAGACCAGAGAGATATGGACTTCTACTGGACCAGAATAAAGGAAGACATTGAAGACAATGCAGAAGTCAGAATGGCGACCTATTAACAACAAGAAAAGATGTATTGAATAGATGGGTGGAACCAGGCACTTCATATGGAGGAAGACGGAGAAAATCTGGAAGATGAAGGATATGAGCTAAGGGGAACAGAGGAGAGGGAAGAGGAACCACCAAAAATTCTTGAAGTTAAGATGAAGTTAACCTTTTCACTGCGAAAACCGGATATACACGTTAGTGATGTAACGAATATTCGCATATGTTTGCATATTCGCATTTGCATTCGCATTCGCAAAATTTGTGCGAATGTTTTGCGAATATTACACAGCTTGCATTTAGCTCCTTCAGTATCGAAAAGTGGCAAAAAATAAGTCCATTTTTCTCTATAATTTGATTTACTCATAGTAATAAATCGCTAATCACACTTTAACTAAAAATTCACTTGTATTTGTGTACGAGCAGAGCAGGGCAAGTGGAGTGACTTGTGTCCCGTGAAATTTTTATTGGAACTATAACCAGAGAACTTAGTTCTCTGCTATAACTTTTTCTCTATAACAAGTCAAATTTGATTATAACAAGAGAAAATAAGATCGAAAAACGTGCTTTCTACGTTTTTGGCCCGGACGTGACTATAAATAAATACCTTTTTAAACGACCCCTCAATAAACTTAACCGCCTACAATAAACTTCTTTACAATAAATACAACTGTTTAACATCTTTACTTTAGCAAATATGATAGAAATATACTGGACAATTTAAAGCAGTTAAAAATGACAGACTTTTTCCAATTGCCTACACACCTCGCGCAAATGAGACTGCCGGCAGTGCCGGAGACAATTAAAATTGCCAAATTAAAAAAAAACTGAATATTCGCATTCACGAATGTCTGTGGCATATATTCGCATTCGCGAATATTTAAAAAATGACATTTGTTACATCACTAATACACGTAATATATAAACTAAATATAAAATAATCTAAAATAACTAGATACAAATCACCCGGAATAGAAAGTCTCTCAGCTGAACTATATAAAGGTGGCCAGGATACCATAATGGCATTACAGCAGCTTATAAAAGAAATTTGGACATAGAAATGCCTCCCAGATGATTGGAATACTCTGCACGATACACAAAAAAGGAGATATCTTTGAATGCTGTAACCATAGGAATTAAGCTTCTAAATGCAACATATAAAATATTTTCTACAATATTATGTCACCGTATGGCACCATATGCAGAACATATAGTAGGAAAATACCAGGTTGGTTTCAGAGGTGGTAAATCGACAATTCATCAGATTGCAATCCTGAAACAAATTTTGGAAAACACTGAAACATGGCATTGATACTCATCATATATTTATAGTCTACAAAGCAGCCTACGACTCTGAATACAAAAGAAATGTTCAAAGCAATGAAGGAGCTAGGAATACCAAATCAGTTGGTAAATTTAACAAAACTAACTCTTAAAAATGTTTAATGTATAGTACAAATTCAGGGAGAACTGTCTGAACTTTTAAAACAAATAATGGGCTGCGCTAGGGAGTCCCTCTCTCCTGTATATTGTTCAGTCTGGCTCTGGAGAAAGTAACACGTATGTCACAAATCACAACCATTGGTTCAATATATAATAAATCGGAGCAAATCCTTGCCAATGCTGGTGATATCAATATTGTTGGGAGAACGGAAAACGTACAAGAGGCATGTAGCATTAAAAGAATCGGCTAAAAAATGGGTTTAATAGTAAACACCAACAAAACGAAGTATATGAAAATAAGCACGCAACCAGAAATTCTACATCTAGTTGTTATAGAAAACGACGTCATCGAAGCAGTGAACGAATTTTTATACCTGGCAGCGCTACTTAACACTGAAAATAATACTACCGCGGAAGAGGCATGTTGGTCCCCGCCTCGCCCCGGATTCACTCCCCGCCTCTCGACGCGTTAGTGTTCTGAGCTGTTGGACGTGAATCCCTGTCCTGGCATTTGGTTTTCACCTCTGGCTGCGTTGAGTAGTTGAGTTACTGTGACCAAATGCCCATCTTGGTAGTTAGTATTCGCCTCTGGTTGCGTTGAGTAACTGAGTTACCGTTGCTAACTACCCATCTTCCTGTCCTTTGTTTTCTTTTTCTTTATTCTCCTGAAGAAGCTACATACAATTGTAGCGAAACGTCGAGATGAACCCACTTTTGGGTCACTCACAAATGACACGGTCCAAACCCGGAAGACGAATAAACTATAACATAGTTATAGTTTACCATCATGGGTGCAGCAACTCTCTTATGGAGGACTTATCAAGCCTACAGATGAGTGGGTCATAAAAATAAAATTATGGAATAAATATGAAAAATATATTCATACCTATAGGAAAAATAATGGAGTTGTTGGAAACATTTCAAAAAGGATTTTAAAAAAAGAAAAAGTGTTGCCATATGCGCTTATTAAAAACTTTTGTAAACCTATAACAATAATTAGAATAAATTATAGAAATTTAAAATCCAAGGAAGTTGAAAATTTGAAGCGAAAAAACTTATCCGGGTTGGATTCAACTAGGTTAAAAATTAGAAAATTAAATAAAATTGTTCCATAGGGAATGTTTCTAAAGTTTCCTAGTATTGTATACTGTTTAGTTTTATCTATGTATGTTTATGAAATAAATAGTTCAGTATTGAATAGTTTTATTTTATCATCAAATGTTTTTGGATATTAATTTGTGCTCTGACCACATAAGTAAAACACGGATTTATAGATTTTATTTACCAGCAATATTTACTTTGAGAGTAAACTGGCATTTATTAATTTAATTATAACACTAACAAATGCATTGATTTGGACAATAAATTTTATTTGCCATGTAAAACAGATCATTAAGAATTTATAAGTCTGAATATTTTAGGTACTGTTAAAAATCTTATTATCTGCCATTTATTTACAAAAACAAAACGTAAATTTTTCGTTTTAAACTTTTTAATCCCAAATTAGACTCATCTTCCATAAAAACTAATAGTAGGTAACAATAAGGTCGATAATTGCTCGTCATCCTCACGCCTACGTCACAGCCGCGTGTTGCAGTGAAAGACAATTTTGGCGATGGAACTATCCTATGTAGTCAACTGTTCTTGTTACCAATCTAGGTGTAATTTTATCTATGCCAATAAACAAGAGGGCCAACCCAAATTCTCAGCAGTGTCAATATGATAAAGTAAATATCCCCACTTTTAACTAAAATCGAAATGAATGAGAATCGCTAGCGATTGCGACTGTCATGGCGTAGTCGCTTTTAAATTTCGACATCGAAATGAAATAGAATCAGGGCCAACGTTATACTTTTAGCGGCCCTTGCTCTTTGTATAAACGAAAAAAAATACAAGAACGTAGGTGGTGGTGCAAAGATTAGTTGCTGAAAAGACATACATACTGTCACGTACATTTATTAGAAGAATTGCGATTATATCCAGATAATTTTAATTCCCTTTTGTAACATGTTCGCAAATTATAATTTTCTTTTTTACCAACTCTTCATTAATATCCGCTTTCACTTATTGAAAGCTTTTTTCTAGCGGTTTTAGTGATCTTCTAACTATAAGCCGTTTTCGAAATTTACCAGCCAATGATTTTTTGTAGTCGTACGATTTTGTCGTTGTCACAATATACACGATTAAATTTACGACCCAACTAACTCTATCGTACTGCTGTGTCTGCCGTCAAATTGCGCCGATTTGGTGGAATGGTGCAAATGCACGATCAAATTACGTTCAATTTTGTAGCATTCTACAAAATCGTACTGCGGCATTGGGACTTGAGTGACAGGCTTTATGATATACGCAGCATACGTCGGCATCGTTTATGGGAGACACAGCCTGACGCCGCCGTACGCGGCCTACGGCCTTTATTGATGACCATAGTCTAGCCTTCTGTAACGACTACGTGAAGTTGCCGGCGACCGACAAACGCTGTAGGCGACGTCTGGCGTTTATTGGAGACCACAGCCTAACTATGAAAGCTTAGTTCCGATTTTGCCCGCTGTTACGTCGAGGGGACAAACCATCTCGTAATGCCGACGACCTTCCATTATGTGGCATCTAGTTTCACCGCATCCAAGAAAGTCTATTTACATTTCGTTACGTTTCTTGCACAATGGATAGCAGCATACTCAAATAAAAATAGAATTAAGTAATACAATGTTTATTTATAGAAAATGTTTTTAACATGTTATAGTACAAAATCTACAAAACAGTGACATACTGAATGTATTCTAACTAGACTTATTACCTGAACAAGTTATTTATAGTAAGTTATTTATAGTAAGCTAAAATAATTCTAATTTTCAAAAATGATCAATGAACTAAAACCTCAAAAATGAACTTAAAACTATGACCGTTGTACGTTTTATCAAAAATGTAAAAATAAATTAACTATTTCTTCTTTTTGAAACCTTTATCCTTTTTTTCTTCTACGGTTTTCTTTTCCTCGGGTCAGAACATGTCGTATTTCGTTAAGTCGCATGTTAGCACCTGACTAATAAGACAATCCGCAGGCTAAAACAAATTAAAGTATTTTATTAGACATAACATTACAATAATAAAATCATTATTATATAATTCCAAATTTCATATTTATCCATCCAGAATATTCTGAATATCCTTCTATAAATGTTCCAGAAATAAACATATTGTTTTAAAATATAAAATAAAAATATAATTCTTTGACTTTTCTTAGTGTATAATAACTAGAACACACTTTATCAAGTTTGAACGCGACACCCTGGCGTTTGACGTCTGACCCTGTTAAATATTTTTCACACCTAAATAAAATAAGGGTAATCTTCCCATTTTACGCATTATGTAGTGTTTTATCAGTTCAGTAAGAGCAGTTCAAGTTTACACATGGCCCTGGAGCCATCACAGCGAGTAGTTAAAAACTCGCAATTCACGTGTTAAATATAATATTCTCTCTCCGCCGAAATCGGACAATTTCTCATAACGGTTTTTCTTTTACGTGTTATAAAGAAAGAGTACATTTGATATTGTATAGTAAGTTACGGCCGTGTTGGACCTCTCTACTCTTAAAAGATTTAATTATAAATCGATAAACTCAAAAGTGATTTTATTTCTCTGGAGCTCTATTTGCTCACATTAAGAATCCTTATCCTTCAACGGTCACTGAAGAACCCAACATATGGAGATGCATCCATTCACAAGTCCTTTGAAGTAAGGCTTGGAATATAAGGATTTCCAACTCTCATGATGTAGGTAGCCAGTACAAGACTCCCTCAATAAATCTACATTTCGAATATTATGAACTGCAAAATTCAAATGTAAGATAAATATTTATCTGAACCCAAATGCTGTTTAACGAGAGAGCCACGGCATATTGAAAGGGCACGAATTAAAAAAAAATCCCAATTAGGAGACAAACCACTTGGGAACATCTTTCAGTTCACGATGGCATAAGCATTTTAAAAAACGGGAAAGCTGTAAGCATGAATGATATATGCACTAAACATATTATGCATTTCAGACAAATCCAAAAAATGGATTTTACAGTTAGACAATAAATGTTCTAAAAGATACAAAATTCTAAAATCAGGACAGTCTAAAAACCATGAAGAACTTCAAGAATCATAGAAGCTATAGACCCATCTTCGTACGTGTAACTTTTTAAATTTATACTAGAGACTGATATTGTCCAAAATAAAAAGAAATGATAAATACCTTATGCCATAAGAGGATTTTGACCTGGGAAATTCTGCACTGGCTAAGTTCTTGCACTAACAGAATACATTGAAAAGGACTTCGAATAAAAACTTACAAAAGAGGCCTGAGTAGATTAGATAGTTGCCGTTGAAAACAACACTTATCATCAAGCTTTGAAAGTTCACTGCACAACACGGGCCTCTTCCTAACGTTTCCAACCACATCTATTTTGCGCCGCTCTAATTCAATTTATATTTAGCCTTCTTAAATCGTCAGTCCATAATGTCTTCATTCCAATAATTTCTTTGTTCGCCGACCATTTCAAATTCTGTCTGTGTGTCACGCCTTTAGACTGACTATCCTTTACACGATGTTAATTGCATTGGTTTTCTCCTGATCTTTACGGTTTTTACCTTGGAAGAATTATTCCTAACATGAATCACTCCATTTTTCTCTGCGTGACTGTCAGATTGGTAACTGAAGCTTTATTAAGGTAAGTGTTTCTACATCGTATGTCAACACTGGTAAGACGTAAACCCTTTTCTTTTTCAGGCATATAGGAATTTTTAAAAATGAGCTGTCTATACGAGGTCTGGCTATTAAATAACGAGACTGATTATGAAAAAGAGTTTTATTTTAAAAATTATTCTACAATCGAATGCTCCCCTTCCCTCGCCACACACCGTTCCATTCGTTTTTTCCATTGGTCAAAGCAATGCTGGAAGTCTTCTTTTGTAAGAGCATTTAGCTCCGCCGATTTTCGCTTCACCTCTTCCATCGACTCGAACCGGGTTCCTTTTAAGGCAGACTTGATCTTCGGAAACAGGAAAAGGTCACAGGGTGCTAAATCAGGCGAGTACGGCGCGTGTTCGAGCACTGGAGTGCCTCTAGCGGCTAAATAACGCTTCACAGACAGCGTGTTATGGGCAGGTGCATTGTCCTGGTGCAAGATCCACGATTTGTTTTTCCACAACTCCGGTCGTTTCTTACGCCCGGAAGAATATCCAGGTTTCATCGCAAGTGATGATGTTTTCCATCAATTCAGGCTCTTCATCTAACCGCTGAAGAAAATCTGAACAGATCTGTTGACGGATGAGCTTTTGGTCAGGGGTCAAATTTTTTGGGACCAACTTCGCACAGACTTCCTTCATGTTCAATTCGTCATGTAAAATTTTTCTGACAGTTTCTTTATTGGCGTTTACAGTCTCAGTAATCATCCGAATACTCATACGACGATCTACGCGCACAATTTCATTTATTTTGGTCACTATTTGCGGAGTTGAAACAGAGACAGGTCGACCAAGACGTTGGTCATCCTCGGTGCTCTCTCGACCTTCAGAAAATCTTTTATACCATTCGAAACCATGCGCACGAGATAGAGAATTCTCACCATAGGCCTCTTTCAACAACTTATAGCACTCAGTCGGAGTTTTTTTTAATTAAACGAGAAATTTCACATTGATCCGTTGCTCGTGTTTTTCGTCACACATTGTTATCAGCACGAAAAAAAAACACGTTCGTTTTTAACCTCTACAGAAAAAATACTACTACACTGACAAAAACGTGTTTTCGTACTGAAAGAGTAGACACTTCCAGCTATCCACGCTGCATTTGTTTCCAACCCTACCCCTCTAGGACGCCTTCTGCGCGCGCAGTCTCGTTATTTAATAGCCAGACCTCGTATGCCTGTACAGGTTAGGTTAGGTAAAATATGGGTGAACGTTTAATCACCCTTCCACTCGACCTTAGAGGTCTGTTCCTGTTGTGACTCATACCTAGGTTAAAGTTGTCCTTTCAGAACAGCCTTTTCAACAAAGTCAAGTGCGGCCTTTAATGATAGTTGCAGAGAAAGTATTCCGCCATCTTGTCTTCAGACTGACAAAATTTTCAATCCGCCCTTTCTGTCTGACTTTATTCATATGTTCCTTGGGGCGACAGAGTACTGTTTGGAGACCTACGATAATTCACAGATTATTTCTGTTCATATCTAGTAGGTCTTTAAATCTTTCGCATATCGAAGGAGAGATATGTCTGTGCAAGACACTACTTCACAATATTTAGAATACATGTAATGATTAGGATCTACTAAGGGACGTAAGAAAGGTACTCTGATATCAGGGGCGCGCAAAATACACACGCACACACACATACTAAAAAACTTACCTTGATTTCTGGACAAATTCCAATCAAAGCATCAGCGTGTGAATAAAACTCTTCTTTCAACGAAATAACAATAGTCTGCAAAGACTCAGTCTTCTCTCTAATGTATTTAGCAACTTTTCCAATATTGGTGTTATCTAAAGCAGCATCAACCTCGTCAAGAACGAAGAACGGAGCTGGCTGATAGCTGTGGATTGCAAATAGCAAAGCTAAAGCGGCCACTGTTTTTTCTCCTCCCGATAAGTTAGACATAGGCTGGAACCGTTTTCCTGGTGCAACACAATTATAGTTGATACCATCTAAGTACGGTTCTTCTGGGTTTTCGGCACCTATAAGTAAAGATTATTATTGCAATGTTAAATATTTTCTAATTTTGTTTATACAAAATATTAATTATCGAAGTTACTTACCCAAAAATGCTTGAGCTGATTGATTCTGAGCCAGGGACTTATAAATGTTATCAATTTCGTTTGAGACATGATCAAAACATCTTGTAAACCTCTCGTACCTTTGCTGTTTTATTTTTTCAAATGCAGCTTTAGCCTTCTTGTTATGTTTCCTCAAATTTTCGAATTCTTCGTTGGTAGATTGCAACTTTCCACAAGCGAGTTGTAGCTTCTCGATAGCTTTCATGTTAGGTGCTTGTATTTTGGTAAGTGTGTCTTGTAATTGTTGGATCGACTTAAGCAATTTATCCGCCTGCTTCTTTATTTCGTCCCTTTCTTCGAGATCTTTGAGGTTATCACTTAAACTGCTGTAGTCAATCTTAATTCTGTAAATAACGATGGTTTTATAGTTTTTGGGATAAGCATAAAAAATTATTAGACAGCTTAGGCTAAATTACAGTAAAATAGAACTACAACATATTCACGAGCAAGAAAAAGTGTGCAACATCGTTCTTACAACCTGTTGATTGGCCGAAGGAAGGATCGTAAAATGGAGGTAGAGTCGTACCTCAAAACAGGTTTGTGTTTGTTTGCGTATAGATCAAGCTTTAATTAAAGGTTTTCTGTGAATAAATATATGAATTGTTTAAAATTAACAACGGTGGATTTGAATTAAATGCCCTGTCTGCTTGGTTTTAGCTTGTTCCAACGCTATCAGTTTTACACATCATTTTCATTTTTAAAACATAACACGCAATGAGAAGCAGCAGTCTAGCGAGAAGCAAAGTTAATGTTTTTGAGTGTAGATTAAGCATAAAGCCGGACTTAGTACTTGGCAAGTACACGATTATTTGCCTACTTTGCAAGTATACGAGTTTTGCGATTGCGATGACAAGCAGGGCGCTCACACAATTCACAAATACACGAGAGTGAACAGACGTGGCAAGTATACGCAAGTATTCTAAACCTTGACAATAATCAGTGGTGTAACAGTTAATATGAATACAGGTTGTCCGGAAAATATCGTTGTTGCTTCCGCAGCTTTTGTTAAATTAAAAAGAAAAAAAGAAGAAGATGGTGGACATATCATTAAATAAAAGTCAATATAGGTAAGTACCTGTATTTAAAATTAACTAAAACAGAAATGTAGATACAGAAACTGAACAAAAATATATATATATAAATCTTTTTTGTAGATACAGGGCCACTCATATTTTGCAGGACCTCAAACGATAACCTTTGGGCCATGTGGCTTCTTCTTCAGTTTATTTATAGTACACTGGACAGATATGTTATCTTGTATTATTTTCCAGGCATCATTAATAGCATTACAATTTTTATGTTCTTTACGTTTGGTCATCCAAATGACCGGCTCATTTTATAAAAATCAATAAACTGCAATACAACGTCATTTGTCCATTTTATTTCAATAAAAAACACAAACACCAATAAAACTTCTGTACGCTCCAGAGATCTCTGAAAACTAAATGAATAGACGCAGTAACTGCCAATTATTTATAGATTACGTTTGAGCGCTTCTGTAAGTATAGACAAGTATGTACTACGCAAGTTTACGAATAATGGTGATCCCTTTGACTCGGGTCATTTCTACCAACAACAGATGAAAAACCAACGAGTGACAAATAATTGGCAAGTCACACGACATGGCAAGTGACGATTATTCGCCAAGCACACGAGTCGTTTGTAACACTACTATTTACAGTATTGAAAGTTGTTAGTTTTTGAAACGTTGCAGAATTGAATAAAGAGATTTGATACACATGTGTTCATTTAAATAATAAGTTTATATCTGAAAATCGCACCGTTAAATAAATTACTTAATTTTCTAATTGTGTAGGACTGTTGCAATATTTATCCGACGATTAACAATATTATTTTTACTAAAACCACCATTTCAAAACACTTTTCTGTATATTTTATCATCATAATTGAAATATGACATTAGTGTACCGGAAAGTGACATTTTTGTGTCAGAAAGTTTTTTCTGCACAGTTTCATATAGCATTCTAAACAGTAGTATATTGTGTTATACACTATACTTTTTCTACAACCACACGTTTTGCTAAAAATAAAAATCTTAAATATTTTACAAAATAATGATTTATATTTGACTTCGAATTCAGGGCATCAGCTAATTAAATAAACAATGTTGGTTGGTTGCCTAGCAACGTGAAGTTAGTCTAAAAATAAACAAAAAATGATATACAGTCCATCCGCTGGATGTTTGCACGAGTAAGTGAACATGACATTGTTCACGAATTATTTTTTATATTACTTCTCTGTCCCACTCACAGAAACTAAAACGATAAACTTAAGCCGGCTGTCTATACACAACAGCATACATCGAACAAGGACAGCCATAGGGCGATGGTCGGTGATTGATTCGCCTACTGGACATTGTAAGTTTTGTTTTGACAGCGTTTGTAGTGTGTTTATAAATTATTTTCGGGTCATTTAAATATTCAATCTTTTTTCGTAATTTGAATATACATATTGCTTAACAAACAGTTGTTATAACGATCAACCGTTACCTTCGTGTTCGATTTATTAGGGTAAGAATTGAGTTCTAAATTGACATTTAGTTATGTAAATAAAGCTAAAACCATATCAACGGAGTAATATAAAATATTTTTAAGGGTTTTTATTTTTAGAGTATGCCTGGTAAATCATTAAATTCTCAAGCGCAACATCTTGTGTGTGGAGTATTTCGAATTAGAAAAAATGAATGGAGAGCCTAAACTACGTCAGTTTAACTCACATGTTTTGGTTTATTTCCTATTATACGAATGATGACAATGTGTTAAGATCCAGCGGATCTACTGTATATATATTTTTTTAGAATAATATATGGAACAGTAACCAAAAAAAAACTTCCTGGCACAGAAATGTCACTTTCCGGCACACGAGTGTCATATTTCAATTATTGTTGCGAAAATATTAATTTTACTTTGGAAAATATTTATTTTTTAAATCATTTTTAAAATAAGTTAGCACTAAAATAGGTACAGATAGTTGTGGAACTGAAAATACTCCACCAGAACTGACAGAACAAATTAATTCGTTATCGTTAAACTTATTATCTTTAATTTTAAGAGAAAAATACGAATTTAGAAGATCTTCGTTTTTAACAAAAAGTGCGGTTGTAAAAAAGGTATAATGGAGATAGGTAATTTTTCACTTGTTTAAATTGGGACACCCGCTTGCGCTTGTACAGCAAAAGTACTTTTCTGCACTTGTTTCACTGTAACTAAAATATTAATTCTTAATAAATCTTTGTTTTACTTTTTTTAGTTAAAGTGTTAAACATTTATTACCTAGCTTCCTTTTCGTGTTGTTGTGCACTGGTACTAGTCTCGGCATTGGACGAAGATTGGGAGGGATCGGCAGCAGCAATGTCCTCCATATTTCCTACTATCATAGGTATGGCTATATCATCCATCTACAAATAAATATGTTTTGTCAATTAAATCATACAAGTATAATTTCGATTTTTTGAAAATTGTTTGGAGGAACAAACTGCCGCCAAACTTTAAGGACGTATTTCAAATTATCAATGTTAATACTGTTGATAATTTTTTCCTACTTGTTTTGCGTTAAACAAGCAATTTGGCGAATCAAAATATTGACCCGCTGTGAATAGACGTTTTTATATAAAGATGAGAGATTTAACACACATCCTATTAGAACTGGAAAAACAACAGGAAAATATTGCATGTTTTTATGAAGACTTGCGACAACTAAATATCTGCTTCCTAAGGATTAAACAATATATTGTACTAACCATAGAATTTAGAGGAAATTTGTAAACAATATGTGAACTATAAAAATATTGTAATAAATCATATGAGGGTAAGAAAAAAACAAACAAATAAATAGAAAAACTAAAATTAAAGAATATTACAAAATTAAGATAATTAAACAAAAAGAAGACAAAAAATTGAGTTTATAAACAAAAAAAATTAAAATTAAAATCAAAAAAGTTTTATAAGGTAATTAAAAACAAAAAAATCGATTAAAAATTAAAATAAAAAAAGTCAATTACAACTTTTTAGTTTATTCACTACTTACTAACACGACATCTGATTATAGATCAAATACAAATACAAATATATGAATACAAATTTCAAAATAGTCTGGTCAATTGGCTATGCCATGGCAAAAAAAAGCACGCTCTATTTTTATTTTAAACCCTACAGAGTCACCTATCAAACTATTTTTTTTGCGCCTACACTTTACTGCATAAATGGTGGCATATTCAAATCCTGCGTGAATTTTGGAACACCCTTTACATACTATTTGTATGAATTTCATTCATAGGACACAAAATTCTTACCTTGCACTGCATAAGAATGGTATGCCTTTCACTTTTCTTCCCTTCGATTTTTCCTTCCAAAGAAACCACCGCCTTTTGAGCAGCTTGTATTTCTTTCGCCACAGCACCTACTTCTCTGCTAGCTTTACCTACTTCGTTAGCGGCAGCTTCGACTTCTTGTTTCTTGTTTAATTTAGTCGCCTTCAACTGTTCTACTTGTTGAAGATCTTTGTCTATTTCGTCCCTATGTTTAACTTCTTGCTTCTTACAAGTTTCCAATTTTTCTTCTTCGTCATTTACTGTGCGTTCCCAGCGGCTGACGTTATCTATAAAAACAAAAATATTAAATATAAAAATGCCAACAGAAACTGACTATTGAGTATATTTAATATTTTACTACCAACAAAAGTAAAGTTTTAACAATTTTTTGCTTCTGATTTTAAGAAAACTAAAAATACATGTATTCGTGAACTATAAACATACATATTATATTGTGTATTATAAACAATCTTTCGTCAAGCTGTGGCTTCCGAATGATTAATTAAATATACATGCAATCAGTTGGACTATGCTAAGATAGGTTCGAATCTTAGCATGTTTATACCTTCTTTGTTCCTCCCGAATTTTGTTCGGGGGTGATTTCTTTCCTCTTTTGTCTATGCATGATACGCCTGATGAAACTTTTTTTCTTTTAACTACATTTCTCTTCTTAAAAACCCTGTAGTTTATAATAACGTAAAACGCAGCAGTTTACATTAAATTATTACTTAGGAACTACATCACTACCTATCCAAAATGATAAGAAACTCAACTAACAGTCTCACACAGTGGAAAAGGGGTACAAGTGCACTTGTATCTCTTCTGTTTCAAGCCCTTCTCATAGTTGAAAGCTAAGTAACTTACCGTTAAAAAGCAGCATCTGTTAGATGTTTCATCCTTTAGATCTACAGGGTGTTTCAAAAAAAGGTAACCCCGTCTCTAGGGTAGGTAAAAAACTGAAAAATAATTGGGTAATGTTTGGGTAAAGTTTGCTTAGTAAAAATTTTTGTAGCGCCATCCGTTTTCAAGATACAGGGCGTTGAAGCAAAAAAATTTAAGCATTTTTTACGATTTTGCCGAAACTACTGGCAACATCGTAATGAAATTTTATACGAATATGTTTTGAAAGCTGATACATCCCATGAATTTGTTTTTATATCTGATTCTCATAGAGGGCGCTAGTTACACGGATTAGTCAATATAACTTTTTTAAGAGTATAATTATTAATCAAAATTTCAGATAAACTTAAACATCATTCAATTTTACACGAAAAAGGTACTCTTGGTAAAACTCGATACTGTGTACCGTTTTCGGAATATTTTGATTTAAAAATTATGAAGTAATAATTGATACTGGTATAAAATAGTTAGTAATTAAACAACACTCACAAGAAGAAAATTAAATTAATGACTAAGAACATAAAATAAAATTCAATTACGGTAAGTATTCAAAATGCTCTCCTTTCGCGAATACACAAGTCTATTTTTTTTCTAAAGATTCCATTAACCTTCTAAACGGTAGGGGATCAGCTATGATGTCATTAAATTGACGTTCTTTCTTCCAATTCTTGGCGTGAATTTACCTCTGTAGTACAGACTTTTTCCTTAATATACGACCAAACTGCGTAGTCCAAAGGGTTTAAATCGCATGACGGAGGAAGCCAATAAATCGGAGCTTCTGCACCTCTACCAATCCATCGATTCGGAAAATGATTACTCAACCAATTACGACACCTTCTCTCAAAGTGTGGTGGAGCTCCATCGTGCATAAAAAATAAAGATCTTCGCTCGTTTAGAGTTAAATCTTCTAATATCTCGAATAAGGAATTGTTTAAAAAATCAAGATACATATCATCATTTAAATTTCCAGGTAGAATATGATAACCTATTAATTTGTTACCTAAAGTTGCTGCCCAAACATTACCTTTAAATGAGTGTTGGTAATGTGATACCTTTTTGGCTCGTGGATTCTCATCACACCAGTAGTGTGCATTATGGGAGTTAAACATACCTTGTCGCGTAAAGGTAGCCTCGTCCGTAAAAAGAATGCATTTTAAAAAATTTGGATTGTGGGCTGTCATTTGTTGCAATTTTTCACAAAAATCCACTCTAACCGGTAGATCATATGGCAAGAGCTCTTGGACTTGTCTGTAATAATAAGGATGTAATTGCTGTTCTTTCAGTATCCGCCAAGTACTTGAAGAAAAAGTATTTGTTTGCCTTGCTATATTCCTTACGCTAACTGTTGGATCTTGATCAAGTAAATTTAAAATATTATTTTCTTTATTAATTGTTCTTGGTCTACCACAATTTATTTTATTTGGTCTCACATTCATAGTTTCTCGACAACGTCGTTCAACGGCTCTAAATATTTTTTTACTTGGTAAGTTTCTTCTAGGAAACTTTTCTGCATAACGTGTCACAGCTGCACTAGAACATCCTAAACATTCGCCTAAGGTTAATAACATGTCAGTGTATTCAACATTTGAGTACATTTTGATTTGATTTTACAAATAACAAGGGGTCAAATTATTGTTGATTTATCGTCATAACAATCAATAAATGTCAGATTTCCATGGCACACTTGGAGAAAATAGAGGTATACCTATTATAACTTTATCATTACTACCAACATCAATTATTACTTCAGAATTTTCAAATCAAAATATTCCGAAAACGGTACCCAGTATAGAATTTTACCAAGAGTACCTTTTTCATGTAAAATTGAATGATGTTTAAGTTTACTTGAAATTTTGATTAATAATTATACTATTAAAAAAGTTATATTGACTAATACTTAGTACGATCCGTGTTACTAGCGCCGTCTATGAGAATCAGATATAAAAACAAATTCAGGGGATGTATCAGCTTCCAAAACATATTTGTATAAAATTTTATTACAATGTTGCCAGTAGTTTCGGCAAAATCGTAAAAAATGCGTATTTTTTTTCTTCAGCGCCCTGTATCTTGAAAACGGATGGCGTTACAATAATTTTTTACTAAGCAAACCCCAATTAGTTTCAGTTTTTTACCTACCCTAGAGACGGGGTTACCTTTTTTTGAAACACCCTGTATTTACCTTCAAATAGAATGAAATATTTCCAGTTTAGCGATGTAGTTTTCTCAATATTTACAAACATGTAACTTATACCCCTTTACTTCTTGGGACCTCAATTGGTGTTTTAATTACTTGTTATGTAAGAAATAGCTGATCTTTTTTAAGGCTAGCTACACCAACTGAAATACATTAATAGTCCATAGCCAAGATGGACTTAGCAGAAGATTCTTCTCCTGCGACGGTCGAAGCCCCATGCAGAACGTATGAGAACAAAAGGGTGATTCGACCCCTTTTTCCAACGGAACGCAATCGGTGTGACGTTTGTTCTGTTGTGGAACGAAGGGGCATCCGCTATTTTGTTTAGTGCTACTACTGCGTCTTCTGGTGAACCCCACGTCTCAGTCTTTCGTGAAAACAGTCCCCTGGAAAGCTTTTTTTACTATTTAAGAGTTTTAATGACGAAAATTTGTTAACATAATTGATTATCTTGTATGTAGCCACAGCTGTCTCTTTAATCTGATATGTTTAGTACCAATTTTTCAAAGTATTATGTCAACCTAAAATATCGGTTGTGATAATTAATTAGCAGAAGTAATGTTTTCTGCTTTTTATATTTTATTATCACTGACTTTAGTGTCACAAGAGTCACAAGAGTTTAGAGTCTTAAAATTACTATTAAATTAAACTTAAAATAATTGTTTTCTCTTCATAAAACTGTCCATAACTCAAAAAAAAAGAGGAAAATGTGTGGATTTTTTTAAAGATATACATTTATATTACTATTGCCCTTCAATTTATTAACAAACATTCCTAACATTTAATTAAATTTGCTTAGGACAGAAATAAAATAACAGTGACTTACTCTGTGTATCTCTGCTTCTTTCGAAATCCAGATTACTTGTAATCCTATTGATTTGTTTTTCAAATTCCAATCTTTTCTTCTTTCTCTCTTCTTGTGCTCTCAATTCTCTATCTTCATACTGTCTAATATTCTTAACGCCGATTTCACGGCAAAAATCTGAAAATACGACATCTTCGACGCTGTTCATCTTCAATTTGATTTCCTCAATTTGCTGTTCGCGAGTTTGCATACTCTTCTCGATAGCTTCAATTTGAGGACCATATTTCTTCATCTCTTCATTTAGACGAGTAAGTTCTCTTTCTACGAGGTTTATTTGCTTTTTCTAAAAAATAAAAATAAAATTACTCAAATTAATACACATTACAATAAAACATTATCAATAAGAATTTCGTTCAGAGAGATGTGTTATATAAGCATTTTCTTCAATTCCATATAAATACTATACAGTATAGGAAAAAGTTTATGGTCGGTATGGACCTTACGTGAGATGGACTGAGAAACAGCTGTTTAAAAAGAGAGAGGTATATTAGGTACGCCCTTTATATCGCCGAACCTTCATGCCTAGAAATAATAAAAAAGGGGAAGTTCAACGTTGCCAAACTTATCGGTTTTATTTGACCTTTTGTCTTTTTTGCATTTGAATAATGTTCTATCAAGAAGATAAAATGCTCAAGATAATCAAATTTGGGCGAAATTGATTTAAATGGCAGGTTACTGTTTTTTTATTGGGAATATGCCACAAGTTTTCTTTACAATAATTGTAATATAACATTTTGATTTCCATTTCGGAAATCGTTTTATATAAATAAAATTTGTTATAGTTTCGTATTTTAAGTACGATTTCCGAACTAAAAATCTAAACATCAAAATAATTTCCCAATATGAAATAATAAACAATTAAACATGCATACAATAACGCCACATTAAAAAATATTCATACACTAATTATTTGGCAACGTCTAGTCTAGATAGTCGTCTGGTCAAAAGATTGAGTAACGAGAAGTAGAGGTGGGTCGTGCTAGTTTATCGTTAAGAGCGTAGGAGCAAAATTTCGGGCCAATGTTTTTTAAATGCATTCATTTTTTTCGAATCCTGAGAAAACTAATAAATATTTTTGAAAAATTTAAACGCAGAATGAAACAATAGATTATTACCGAGGGCCGAAAGTCCCTGAAAACTTCTATAATGTTTATTTTAATAAGTTATAGGGATGAAAAAAAAAACAAAATTTAGTGTGATTTTTAATTTCAAATATCTCATTAAAAAAACTTTTTGTTTATTCTAAGGGACTTTCGGCCCTTGGTAATAATGTAATCTTTCATTCTGCATTTAAATTTTTCAAAAATATTTGTTAGTTTTCTCAGGATTCCAAAAAAAATTGAAAGCATTTAAAAATTTTAATTTTCATAAACAAGTAACTATACCTTATTCCATTAAGCGGTGCAGGGCATATAAACAACGATAAATTTAACAGATAATTGTTAAAGATGTTCCAAATGAGTCTACTCGTTCCGATAAGTAACAGTATAATTATAACACTTTATTATTTTTTTTCTTTTCTCAAATATTCGTTTTTATTGCATAGTAAATAAATTAATGTTATCACTGAATACAAAGTAAGTGAAAAAATACTCCGATTTATAAAATTAATGAATATTTTATGCATAAATGCAAGTAACAGTTCTTCAAAAATATTTAAAAACTAACCGGAATGTCCATCTTTATTTCGTCTGGCGAGGTTATCGGCGGTTCATACCGGTTCGGACACGATTTAATGTTTATATTTTCCTGCATGGCTTAATGAATTTTACTATAGTGATTGTTTAAAAGTAGTTTCAAGTAAGATTGTACCTACATAAACAAACATAACGGCTATTATCGTTTATGTGTATATCTATTGAAGTGAAAGAAACTAATGATATATTTATTATAACTTGAAAAATAAACTAAACAATACAAATAGTAAATCGGACTTACATTTACATTACACGTTATTATTAAATCGCGAATAGTCTAAATTGACATAAAAAACATAAGTTGTTCTACTTTACTTCTTGTTAACCGTATTCTTTTTTTATTTAAAATTAAACCAGATTTTGAACATGTGTTCACATTTACAATACTTTATGAATATAGTGGTTAAGTTAGGATATACATGGCGATGGTTTTTCTACCGTTGTAATGGACTCTCGATGCAGGTGTACGTGTAGATGAGTCATCTCCAATTAATTGATCAAAAATACACCATGGGCTTAAGTCATATTTATTGGTTTCTTTTTCTTATACTGGTTGATTTTCAATAGTACAATCTTCTTGTTCGTTAATTATAGAAGTAACCAGCTTCTTAACTTTTTGTTTTGTTTTTTTATCTTCATTTTTATCAGAAAAACCCTGCACTTTAAATCGTGAATCCATAAATGTACATAATGACAATGTGCCACTCTGTTCTATCCCTCTAAATCTTTTTGCTAAACCCGATATTAGTAATTGTACTATGTCGGATACTATGGATGTAAGTATGCCGTTTGCTAAAATTTTATTGCAAGATTCTTGCAGGCAGCGTACCATAACACTCACTGAACTAGCATTCAAGTATTTTTGGTCACCCATTGTACTTGTTATTTCTTTAAACGGCCGTAAAATTTGAGATTGCCAGATCAGCATTTATACGAATGAAGCCAATCCTAACGTGCAAAAATCTAAATTTGGAGATCAGACTACGTACCATTCGCTGTTATATATTTTCAATAATATTATATGGAGCTGAGACTTAGACATTAAAAAAATGTAATTTAAAAAGAATCGAGGCCTTCGAACTCTGGTTATACCGCAGATTATTGAAAATATCATGGACTGATAGAATTACAAATAAAGAAGTACTGGAGAGGGTTGGTAAAGAAACAGAACTAATCACCACTATACAAACCAGAAAACTGGAATACCTAGGCCATGTGATGAAGGGACCAAAATATGAAATTTTGAGACTGATAATACAGGGAAAGATTCAAGGAAGAAGATCTGTTGGCCGAAGGCAGAACTCATGGTTAAAGAATCTACGTGATTGGTACCAATGCAGATCGATTGATTTGTTTAGAGCAGCAAGTTCTAAAATAAAAATAGCCATTATGATTGCCAACCTCCGTAGGGAGACGGCACTCTAAGAAGAAGAAAATTTGGGAAAGTTGAGAACAAATAATCCAGTGTTCTTTATTTAACTTAGGTTTAAGTCTAAGTCTGTATTATTTAATACCAATGTGGAACGGGTTGCCTCTTCTAACTCGGTCATTCTTTTTAACATGTAATAGGTGAAGTTCTACCTAGTTTCCACGTCTTGGATTGGCCGTTTGGGAACTGTGTTATGTTGTAATTAATACTTTAAAAGCCTTTCTGAAGATAAGGTACTTTTTTGAAATGTGTTTTTTTGCAGAATTGTCGAAAAAAGGACTTTTTATTTTATCTATTTGTACACGACAGCATTTAAGTGCGTCCTCCACCAATAAATTTAATCATCATCATAAATCACAATCATCATAAACCAAAACATATTTAATAGCTTTGACCATATTTGAGGAATTATCAGTTACTGCAAAATTTACTTTTCGTTTTAGACCCCACTGATTAATAATTTCAGTAATCGCTGTTTTCTGGATTATGGTTTCCAGAAAAATGGCAGCAGCCTAATAAAACCGTTTTGAATACTAAATTTTCGGTTAAATATTGTCCTGTTAATGCGAAGTAACTCTCAGTTACTCCATATGTCCAGAGGTCAGTAGTAATACAGATATTTTCTACTTCTTTAACAACTTGTGATCTAATAATTTGCTCACTTTTGACATATCATTCCTGAAGTAATGAACCTGACAAAGTTTTTCTTGTTGGCGGTTTATATCCAGGAATCCACCCTGCAAACTTTTTAAAAGCTGGTTCTTTAACTATGGAAAACGGATGAAACGAAAAGGTTAGTAAATCTTGAAAATCAATCAGTCCAAGAAAAAGAAACTGATAAAGATGACTCATGACTCATCTAAACATACACCTGTATCGAGAGGTATAAAAGAAGTCGACATGTTATTGTCTGATGATATATTACCCACAAAAAATTTCGAACGGAGATTGGAACTGTCCATTACCGTGGTGAAAAAACCATCGCCATGTATATCCTAACTTAACCACTATATTCATAAAATGTTGTAGTATTGTAACAAAATCTTTTCCTTGTGAACACATGTTTAACATCTGGTATAATTTTAAATAAAAGAAGAACGCGATTAACAAGAAAAGTGGAAAAACTTATGCTTTTAAATGTCAATTTAGACGATTCGCGATTTAATAATGTGTAATGTAAATGTAAGTATTTAAGTACCATTTGTATTATTTAATTTATTTTTCAAGTTACAATAAATATATCCTTCGTTAGGTTCTTTTATTTCAATACTTATACACATAAACGATAATAGCCAATATGTTTGTGTACTCGCTAATTTGAATACTGGTAAACAATCAACTAGTTACAGTTTACGAAAAACGGTTCCGATAAAAATTAAAAAAACGAGAGGACCCACCTCTAGTTTTTTAGGTATATTAGGATCGGAACCAGAGAATATCTGATCGGAACTAATCGTCTCACTAATGGGCAATGGCCAATGAGTGTTAAAAGGATTTTAGGAGGGGAGACGAAGGGGAAATATGATTGTTATCTTTGTCTAATTCGCTGAAAATATGATTTTATATCTGCGTTAGATATCCTGTTAAATTTTACCATACCGACCATAAACTTTTACCTACACTATGTATTTAATTTAGTAAATTACTGTTGCTAGATGTGCGGAGTTTGCTTAGGGATAAAGTACGACTAGATTGAATGCTTAGAAACTAATTAAGACCATTACATTGGTTTCATTTATCATAAAGTCTTCGATAAGATTAAACATAGTAAACTGATGGGAGTTCTCCGAAACAAAAACCTGGACGAGCGAGATATAAGGTTAATAAACCTCGACTACAATCAGAAAACTGTAATAAAAATTGGACGTGAAATAGAAGAAGAAATTCAAGTTATAAGGGGAGTTAGAGTAATACTAGTTTGTTTAAAAATACTTAAAATACTTACTGTACTATCCATGTCAGTTTTATTATATCTCAAACGAGTTTCAAGTCCTCTGATTTGTGAGTCGACAGTGTTTAATTCTGACTCTTTACGAGATTTTTTCATAGCTTCTCTCAGTTCTTCCGTTAGTTTTTCCTAAAAAAAAAAAACAATTTTATTAAATTTTACATAGTAAAAAATTTGTATTTTAGCACAAAAATATTCACAAATTCTAATTGCATTAATAATGATTGCTTGCAATTTACTCGGATACCGCTTACAAGACAAGTTACTAATATAGTAGAACCTCTGTAATTCGAACCTCGATAAATCTAAAAGCAAAACTCGAAAAAATGTTTTGTTCCCCTCCAATCAAGATCCAAAACCTCCAATACTCGAAATCTCATCCCTCCATTAGTATAAATAATCAGTGAGTCCCTGTAAGCAATGTTTTATTTTATAAACTTTACTACTCATTATTTCAAAGTTATATCATACCTAGTTTGAAGAAAAATAAGTTAACGACAAGAATTTGCCGACAATATAAATACACCATTGTATCTTAGGAGACAATTTGGGAGTATACAATAAATGGGATTACTACTTGGGGAAATTTATTACTTACGTTAACAGGTGCTTGCTAGCTTGGTGTCAGGTATTTAATTTTTATTATTTTTGATTTCATTTGAACTTGAAGCATGTCATTTGTTCTCAATTGAAAAAATGTCAGAAATAGTTTGATTTAAACTAGGTAAAACGTAAACTGAAAACTTCTTTATGAGGAAACCAAATCTGCCATAAAAAATGGGGGTTTTCACTCAAGATTTTATAGTTGCCCCCCACCCCGCTTTAAATGGTGTGGCTGCGGATCGTGTTTGGTGTTATAGATTTCTGAAAAATATTACACATGTGGTTTTCGATCCAATGTTATTTTTAACATTCCCGCTTCTTTTCACACACCCTATATACAGTATTGGAAGATTCAAAACGGAACATACGAATTATTAATACAATTATTAAGATCCCCTGACCTGCAATTACCCAGTGTAAATTTCAATATAACGTCGCGATGTCTTATAATTAATTCATTTGTTCGACTGGACTCCTTCTCCAGTCGATATTTTTCGACTGCTGCGCACGTGCGCACCTTAATAATACGACTAATAGTTGATTGTGTCGGTATTGGCCTATCTTCATACGCACAAGTAAATAAATTTATAATATCACGGTACGAGTTGCCCTCATAATACCATTTTAAAATTTGTACTTTTTCTTTGTTTGTATACATGGTTTATGGTTAGAAACACTACTTTTATTTCAGCTTATGGCGTTATAATGAGAAGCAAAGCAAAGGGCATGTATTTGTTTTGCTCGGCCAGTGATGTTCCTTGGGACTGTTGCCAAATCGATAGATACCTTCGGCAAAAATCTGTAGATTTTGATGTATCATATACATCCTTTTAAATTTTAAATTATCAACAATATTTGGAATAATAAATATATTAAACTATACACTAACCAATTCAAATAATATCTAATGAACACAAAAAAATTGTTATTAATAAAACATTGTTATTATCTGCACAAAAACACAGAAAATCAGTGGACGATAGACAACAGTGTCGACGTACACCTGTCGAATACGCGCTACTAGAAATCGCCAAGGAGTAGCAATCCAGTCGAACAAATGAATTAATTATAAGACATCGCGACGTTATATTGAAATTTTTTCTTCTTCAAGTGCCATCTCCATCAATGGAGATTAGCGGTTATGGTGGCAAACGTTTGTCTATCTTCAGCTGTTCTTAAGAGTTCCTCAAATCCAAGTCCTGTCCAGTTTCTGATATTACGTAACCAGGACAATTTTTTTCTTCCAATTCCTCGCTTTCCTTCTATTTTGCCTTTTATTATCAACTGAGGGATGTAGTATTTCTCGTTGCGCAACAAATGCCCTAAATAACTGGTTTTTCTTCTTTTGACTGTTCTCAATAGTTCTTTTTCTAAATTGAGTCTAGCTAGGGGGATCTTAATAATTGTATTAATAATTCGTATGTTCCGTTTTGAATCTTCCAATACTGTATAGATATAGTGTTGTCTCATGCACTTGTGCGTTAATGGAAGATATTATATTCTACAACATACACCTCCATATGTACCCGTGTACACTCCATATATTTTGTTTTCCTTTCATTTATATTTGGATCAAATGCAGTGGCTTCCCGTTTCAAATCTATAGCTTTTTCACTTAATATCCTTCTATTGCGGCTTATTATGGCAATATCATGAGCATATGCGCATATTTGAGTGAATTAATACAGCCGTTCATATCTAGTTTTCTTATTATAGTTAATGGATGATTTTTGCTAAATGAATGTTTTTAGAAAAAATATTATGATTCAAATTTTTAGTTTAAATATGTACAAATCTACAAATAATATAATTAAAACTCTCTTCTTATAAATTATAAATAAAATTAATTCAATTAAGTCAATCACAGGGAGAGAAAGCCCAAAAAATTATAAGGTGTTTCGATGAAAAAACAATTCATGATCTTGTTAGTACGTTAGAATTGCTTTTTAGCACATATAGCACCAAATAATAATTTTTTACAATTTGAAAATTCGAAAATGTGAAGTATAATTTCGGACTTTTAAATTAAAAAAATTAAAAAGTAAGTCTCAAATATCACCTCTCTAGAGCTCAACATAGGAAGATGAGAAAAAAGGCAAAAATTGCTGCTGGGGCATAGACCGTAGAAAATCCCAAGAAAACCAAAGCAGCAACACCCGAGGAAAAAAGAGACTTCGGGAGAATACCATCACCCCCCTCGTAACAGAATTGCTATAAAACCAAGAGGCTCTAACGAGCAGACTAGGTCATAAAGCACTGTGATAAAAGTATTGAGAATGGTGGTAGCACACATAGACACCATCCTGATACTCAACTAGATCGGGCTCAAGCAAATTTGATTATTAACAAAATGGAGCAAGCACTTGATGAGGCTCCTATCGGATGTCAAATTGAACTCGTGCAGTTCCATAAAACATCGTTTAGCGAAGGGACCCTGTGGGTAAACTGTGTTAACAAGTGGACGACTGAAGTGTTGAGGACTATTGAGGGCCGGTGGGAGGAGGCAAACTTAAATATAATTGATCCAAATAATATGCCCAAGCGCCCCGTGGTCCTCGGCCGCGTCCCCGAGAAAGAGCTTGATGAATAAACCGCCAAGACCCGTCGAGAGGCAAAATCAAGACCTTAACACAGAAGACTGGTTGTGATCTCTGTTCCACAGTCTGAACGACAGTAAAGATAAAGGTTATAGATGGAGAAGTTATGAAAAACATAGTTCTCAGATCAGTATACCTCCCATATAATGGTTCCGAACAACCATCAAGGGAGTTGGAACAGCTAGTGAGAATTTGCATCAAAAATTAACTGCAATTAATCATTGGCTATGATACGAATGCCTACCATCTGACCTAGGTCAGTACAAACACCAAACTGTTAAAAAATGACATGCCTTAGATGAGGTTCTGAGAAAATGAAATTTTTGGTTAAGATATTTTGAAAATTTTTTAAAATGTTTCGTAAATTTTTGGGCAGGAAAACAGTATAATAAAAAAATCCGTGTCGGTTTTTCGTAGTGTTGGAACAAACCTATTTTAATTCAAAGTTATAAAATTTTATTTACATGTAATAAAAAAAATAAATACTGTTACGATAAATATGACTCATAACTTTAAACATATAATTTCTAATCCATTTAAGTCTTTTCTAGATCATACACCAGCTGGCAGAAACTTCAGGTAATACCTGACGGGTCTCCTATTCGAAGTTTCCATAAGAAGGTCGAATGAAAACCAGCCCGTATGACCTTCTAGTCTATTTGAAGGGAATCGCCGGAATTCTAGTCTAACGGTTGATTAGTATAAATAGAAATTTTGTTGTAAACAGTATTCAGTTCTAAATAAATATTGTAGATAAATAATTTAAATTAAAGTAGTTGTGTTCTAGTTTTTAGTAATAAGTGTAAAACTGTAATAAATATATAAAGATTCTAATAAACTTGTAAGTGTTATAAATATAGAATATTTGATAATAAATAAAGAAGATAAATTAGATTAATAAAAACACTTTAATACTTTGACAATTGGAAATTCCATATTTTTTCAAGTTTTAAAATTATAAATTTAATAATTTAATATATTTAAAATTAAGATTTTATTGCGAAAAAAAAAGACAGTTTATAATTTAATGGCATCGAAATTAAGCCTGGATGCATAAGTTAAATAAATAGCTCCAATCGTACTCCTTTCCCACTTCCCCCTAACTATATCTTTCCGCGATGGCCACGGTTTGAGTGTATGCAGTCGCCCTCTTAAGGAGCGTGTTGAAGTATAATATCCGTAACCAAATCGCCCATTTGAACTGTCCTTCTATATGCGTGTATATTCTTTGATACACGTTAAATTGACAGCAGTGAATTGATCGTGAGGAGACAAGAGTGATTTGTAAAATTGTTGAATTCCATTAGAAAAAGAAAAAATATAGGTTATCAAACGTAAGGTTCTTCCAGCTCACGAAACTTTGTCAAAAACGATTGCGACGTTGCCTATGTGTACAGAAAGTCGGATAAAATAGAATAAATTTAAACAAAAATAAAAAGAAATACAGTTTTCTTAGAAAGACAAGAAACAATTAATATTACCTTCTGAGCTTTTAACTGAGCCATGTGCTTTTCATCCCATCTCTTAGCTTTTCTTGCCAGGTCCAAACTACCTCCAGAGATAATACCTGACTTTTGATAGTAAGTTCCGTCCAAAGCGACGGCATCTAATCTTCCTCCTAGCTCATAAGCCACTTTCATAGCATCTTCTGGCGTTTCGCAAACGAGAGCATTATTAGTCGCGAACATTACTGCTTTGGCTATTGCTTGAGGCTCGAATTGAAGGACATCATAGATTAACTTAACTCCTGTTGAACAAAAATGAAAATGTAATAATGTGTGGGTGTGAATATTTGACTTTGATTTTGAAAAAAATTTGAAATTAATTCTAAAACCAGTATAAATAAAATAAAAAATCTACATTATACAAATGGTAAACTTTCATCTTTTTTATTACTTGAATGGAATATCAAATAGTATTGTTAATTACCTTTGGGCTCAGTTATATTCCTCAATCTTTCTTTGATTGGTTTAGTTTGAAGATAGTCCAAGGGAAGGAAAGTTTCGGGTTCCAACATTTGCTCCTTGAGATATTTAATACATTGTCTACCAGTATGTTCGGTGTCAACAACAATGGCATCCATATACTTTCCCAAATTCTTTGTAATAGCTACATTGTAACGCTTGTGAATGGGGTGGCACATGTTTATCATTCGATCGTACTGAAATATTTCATATATATATTAAATGGATTTATTAGTACAACGTAAATACATTAAAAATACAAGTTTTACTAACAACTTTGAAACTTTTTTAAAGAGCAAACGCAAATTGTAGTAAAGTCTCGCGATGTATGCGAAATTAAGCATTTTGCTCTGAGTTTCCTAACTCCTCTAATCAGCGAGACAAGCTCAAGGTCGGCATTAATTCGATGGTTTATCTGTAAGTTATCATTTATGCTAATATATATGATCTTTATATTTATGATCTACTACACCTTCTTCTTCTTCAGTGCCTTATCCGGTCCGGATGTTGGCGATCATCAAGGCTATCATGGTTTTGTTGACTGCTCTGCGAAACAGGGCCGCTGAGGTCATGCCAAACCATTGTCGGAGATTTTTCAACCACGAGATACGACGGCGTCCCGGTTCTCTTCTGCCAAATACTTTACCCTGCATAACGAGTTGAAAAATTCGATATTTTTCTTCGTTCCGCATCACGTGGAAGACGTACTCAAGCTTACGTTGTTTAATTAAATATAGAACTTCTTTTTCTTTTGTCATGCGCTGTAGGACCTCAACGTTGGTGACATGGTCCACATAAGATATTTTTAGTATCCTTCTGTATATCCACATCTCGAAGGCTTCGATTCGTTTTTCAGTGGCTTGCGTCAGTGTCCAGGCTTCAACTCCATATAGTAACACTGGAAGAACGTAGCACCTCACTATCCGCATCTTGGTTCCCAAACTGAGATCACTGCAGCACAGCAAGGATCTCAACTTAATAAATGTAGACCGTGCCACACCGTACTACACCTTATCGAACAAAAAAGGGTAAAACATCAAATAAAGTCTCGAAAGTGGGGTTGGATTGGTCACACACTCAGAAAAAATAATTCCAGTATTGCAAAGATTGCCCTAGAGTGGAATAACCAAAGAAGAAAATGAGTTCGCCCAGTACAAACTTGGAGAAGATCCATCATGGACGAGATAAGAGGCCAAGGAAAATCTTTAAATGAGGTGAAGGCCTTAGCGCAAAATAGAACCCGATGGCGCGTTTTAACTGAAGCTCTATGCTCCATTTTTATGCTAAGGTTATTAACAGTTATTCAGATAGACTTGCACCAGACATTGTTTAATTGCCACCATTTACTTGAGGCGGTGAAAACTGGCGTGACCCTTTTTTTTTAATATTTGGTTATGGCCATATCTGCATTCTCCATAGTCAAATCTATATACAACCAAAGTTAAGTATATGGAATCATCTGGTATTTCTTATTATTTTAAGCGAATTTAAAAAAACCCACATATGAAGTCAAAGAATATTTATTTAAGACAATGTAATCACCAATACATAAAATAATAATAAACTGAAACCACTGTTTTTAAGGTTAATAACATAAACATTTTTAATCTGGAATGACTAATGTTTTAAATTGTTTTTATTTATTTGTGTTGTTTTTAGTAGTTAGTGTAACCACCCCTAACCCTTGTGAAAGTTTTAATTTACGTGGGTATGCTCCTAAACAAATTGTCAATATTTTGTTGTGGCAGGTTGTTCTATTCTTCAAGAGGAGCTTGTACTAGCTGTGCAGTGTTTGGTGGATTCTCCCAGTGAGCTCTAATTCTTCTTTTAAGCTTATCCCACAATTGCTCTATAGGGTTAAGATGGGGTGAGCAAGCAGGTCACTCCAGAACAGTGATACGTTCTGCTTCAAGAAAGTCTATAATAACTCTTGCACTTCTACAGAGCCGAACTACAGTTTCTAGAACCAAATCAAAATACCTACGAACTGTCAAAGTTGTTTGGATGAAAATTAAAGAAGTTTTTTTACTGATCATAATGCCTCCTCAGAACATGATTCTGAACTTTCTCCTTTATATATGTGAACAGATGGTAATTTACGTTGTTGCTTGTCTTCTTCGCTCTCTAAATACACGAATTCATCGATCATCTGATTTTTCACAAATCCTAGATTCTCGGTATAATAACTCGGTAAACCGTAACTATCTACTGCTGTATAGTCCTTGAGTACGAAGTCTTTTTCTTATCATTTTAACTGAAACACCTGTAGTTTCCAAAAGTTACCTTTGAAACTGTGGGTCAGAAATTATTGGGTCTCTTCTAGCTAATTGGCCAATGAAACGATCTTGGTGAACCATTGTTACTTTATGGCCACTTTGTCTTAGTCTATTCTTAAGCCTTACTAATTCCTGATACCTAGCGTAAGTTTGTGACTCAATACCCTGTGTTAAGCCTACCACTGCCGCTCTGTTCCTCTGAGACATTCCTTATTCCAAAAGACCAAAAATCTTTCCCCTTTACGAATGCGTTAATCCCACCCTCGAGCAAAAAGACAGAAGAGAGAATGTAAAGGTAGTGGGGGAAGATTGTTAGACGGGAAGTGTCATTTTTCGAGGCCACATTAAACAAGGGGAAAGAGAGTCTCTTTCCTTGTTTAAGAAATCAAATTTAGTTGGGTTATGTTATTGTTTGTCCCAACTGTCACATGGAAGCTTATTTATATTGAAGATTTTTAACAATTATTGTGTCACATTTTAGACTATTATCGTTATTATTTAATTAAAACTTTCTCATCTAAGACACATTCTGGAAAATATTTTAGAGCTACTGTTTTATGACCTTATAAAAAAACATGAAATATTTTTCTAATTAAAACAATCATTATATTAAAATTTTCAAACTTTGTACTAATTCCATTAGAACCCCTCCACCACTGTATGATTATTGTGAAGAGTCGTAAAATTTAAATTTGGCGCCTATGCATTTCCGGATATGTCCGCCATAGTAAGACGCCACTTTTATGAATTTTGGTCTCCTTTTCATAACGATTAGATTTCCTCTTTTGTCTTTTTGCTTGATGACCCCACATAAGGCATATTTTCGTTTTTGAACGCAAAAGTAGTATTTATTTTCGTTTATGTACAACTAAAGCAAATAATCTATAACGTACCGAGCTGTGATATCGGTTTAATTTTCAATAAAAATCTTTATTCTTCGCAACAGTAACTATATAAATAATGAGTTTTTTCAAAAGAAATAAATATTGGTTTGAAATACATGGTGATTCCATATAAGTTTGGTTGTGTGTATTTGCTTGAATGTGTAACTCATTACTCTAACGAATTTAAAGTTGCTGTAGCAGCTGAGGCAAACTGCTTTTGGGTTCAGAGATTGAACTGATTGAATGAGTGTAGGGCGGTGAAGCTGTATCAGATGAATCTTCAAAGAAAACTACACAAAAAACATGTAAAATAAAAGGGAAAAAGAAGAAATTGGCGGACTTTGGCCTAAATGCTACTTCAAAGAAAATTAAAAAAGTAAAAACATGAAAATAAAAAGGAAAAACGAAGACACTAGAGTATTTAATAATAGTGAGTGCTCATGCATAAAAAAGTATTGATAAACTATCTGAAGAGCTACGAAAACATGATTTTGACTCTTTTTGGCATTTAGGCTCTATCAAAGTCCATAACGCTTTTGTGTGATTTAGTCAAACAGCTCTTGTCAAAAGTTAGACGTCCAAAAAATCAGTCTGCGTTTCTAAATCAATATCAAACAAAATTCTTTATTGAAACATTCCAAATATCAGACGGACGTGAGGACGGCCATTAAGAAACTCAAAATAGGGAGCTGGTTGGACCTGATAAGACGATTTGACAAACAGAAAAGAAGGCGATTTGACAGATGAAGAATAAAACGATATTACAAAAAGAAGAATTGACAGACAGCAAAAGAATTGACAGTTGATATGACAGCTGATGTCATTGCTGCCATCTTGTGACATCAGAATGGGAGTGGAGGGGGTGTCCCAACCAACGCATATTCCACTCTTCTTCTTCTTTTATACCAAAGCCGTCAAAAATATTACTTTTAAAAACTGCACGACGACTCATCATTATAATTGACATTTGCTGTAAATAAAGAAAATGCAAATTAAGTTTGAGCATCGTGTCTGCGCGCCAATGAATCTCCTTGAAAAAACTAGTAATATCATGCCTTATTCTCAGAGTTGCGAAGAGAGGACACAATTGCATATAAGCATAAAATGGTTAATGAATGGATAAATGGTTATATAAAATGGTAATTGTAAATAGCGAATCAAAAATTAAGTGAAATAGAAATGATTCAAATTTGAGTTTATGATGTTTAAAGTTTTGGGTTAATTCAAATAAGAAACAATGCGGTTTGTTTAATAAAATATGTATATGTAAAACATTTATGCTTATATTAAGCACACAAATTTTTAATTTTTTAATTAACATAGTTTAAATGAAGAAATATCAATAATCTTACCACTCCAGGGTAGTTACTCTTGAATCTTTCCACAATTTCCTGTTTTTTCTTCCTCCTGGAATCTTCGTGCTTATCTGTTCTAGCGTCACCAAGTTGTTCAGCTACATCCTCTAATTGCTTTTGAATTTCGTGAACTCTGTCCTTAGAAAATCCAACATCTGATTGTAAATCTTCTCGTAGTTGCTTCTGATCTTGCAAAGCTTGTTCACTGGATCTAAAATAAAAGTAATTATTGCATTTGTTTAAAATTATCAGTCAATTCAAATCGAGATTCAGTCAATTTTTAGGTTAGTGGCCTCAGTGGTTTTTTTTTAATTATCTCGGAAATTAATCCGCTGATTGAAGGATTTCAATTGACATGAACCTTGAACGTGAATGAAAACTGTTTATATTAATGTAAGGATAATGTATTTGTTTATTACAAAGCATTTACATACCTTATATGTTCTGCCAACTTTTCTATTCTCTTCTCCATCTCCTCTTTTTCGTGTAGTTTCTGTCTGTGTTTATTCTCAGCATCTGTTCTACTTCTAGATACATTGTCCAAGCGATCCTGTTCAGCCTTTTGTTCTCTGTTGACAGAATCTAACTCCTGCATGTATCGTGCTGATCGCTTAGCAGCTTCTTCTTTCAATCTGTGGTATTGTCTTACCTAAAAAGATCAAAAATAACACATTTTTGTGTAAAAGAATCAAATTATTACAAAAAACAAAATAATCTGTTTAGATAAGATGTTAAAAAAAATGGAGAAATATCCAAAACATTAGGAAAATATTAAATAATAATAGAATATGAAAATTAATAAAATAGTTGATGTGAGATGTTCAAAAAAATTTAATTGAGGAAGTTATTAATTGAATTTAATAATACCTGAGCATCTTCCAAATGCACATCTCTTCCTTGGCTCTGTGATTCGCCAGCTATTTGAGTCTCATATTCATCTTTCTTTTTCTCCACAGTTGCTAATTCATCCTCCAATTTTTTAATGTCATTCATATGAGCATCGTGTGCTTTTCTAGCTTGATCCAATGTCTTAATAGCACCGTCCAACTTTTTCTGCATATGAGTTACTCTTTCTTTGGCCTTAATGAATTGAGGCTTCTTTTTCGATATTTCTACTTCTACTTCTCTTATATCCTGTTCGACTTTCGCAAATTCTCTGGTGTGCTTTCCATGTTCTTTCTTCTTTTCTTTGAGAAAGTCTTCATGTTTCGCTTTCTTCTTTTCGATTTTATCAACTTCTTTTTGTTTGGATTTGAGATCTTGTTCGAGGTTTTTCATCTCTCTTTCATTGTGGAATAAGCGGAAAAGCTGATGATCAACCAATTTGTCGTTCTAAAACAAAAAAAAAATGTTTAGTAGGCCCTGCTGTAGACTAGCGCGAAAATAGAGCTTTATATTAATAAACAAAATTGCTTTTTTTCCTATTTGCTTTATCACGCATTTATTTGCAGTTTTGACATTTTGTTTACCTAACAGCCACTCCCTCGTTAGGTACACAAATGGACTATTTGCCGTGACTGTACAAAATATGAAAATGTTTTACTAATAACCCTTTTTATCGGACTTTATTGCAATAGTCGAACTGATAATTGCAAAAATCCAACATTGTATTTATATTTATATGAAAATATAAGTAAATATCATTTGATAGCAAATTTAATTATTATATAAACTAAATTATGCAAAAAATGGACATCAGAGTGCTCTCTGAAACCAAAAAGAAAAGCCAAGGGATTGAACAGATTGAAAACTACATTCATATATGGTCAGGAGTAGAGAAACACGTACACGCTAAATCAGGGGTTTCAATTCCTATAATATATATATATATATATATATATATATATATATATATATATATATATATATATATATATATATATATATATATATATATATATATATATATGTATATATATATATATATCCGGTTTTTTAGGCGTTACGCCCGTCCGGTAGGGATCTATGGAGGAGTATCACCGAGCCGCAAGCCCTTATCTCTTGCCGTACTGCTCCACCACAGGCCGATCAGATCTCAGCATATCCTAGTCTAAGCCGCAGATTCATCTAGAATTTTAAATTGCTGCGTTAGACTTTTTGTTTTCTGTACACCGAGCTGGGGCTCGACCCACATCCACTGAACCATTCAACAGTGAAGCGAATGAGAGGCAGCCGCACAGCCCGCTGAGCTATCTGACCGACAATATAATTCAATTCCTATAAAAAAATCGTTAAAAAAAATACATAAAAGACTACGCGTACATCTCTGAAAGAATTCTGACAAATACTGTCACATTGTACGGCATAGAAACAATAGTTGCTGAGTCTATGCGCCAACAGACGATTCAAATCAAGTTAAAGATTCCTTTTATGAAGAGTTATCAAATATTTGTGAAAAAATAAAAAGTCATCAAGATATAATACAGTTAGGAGACCTAAATGCTACAGTAAGTTCTCAAATAGATGATGACGTGGTGGGACGGCATGGAGAAATAGTTAAAAATAGTTCAGGGGACATCTTAATTGAGTTCTGTCAACTTTTTGGTTTAAAAATAATGAATACCCAATTCCAACACAAAGATATTCATAAATACACTTGGGAACGACCTTCACTTCAACGGAAATCGATCCATAGACTATATAATAATGAGACAGAAATCAAAATTTAAGTGCCAAGACTGCAGAGTAAAAAGAGGATCTAACTGTGGGTCAGATCACTACTTTCTTTTAGCTAATCTTTTGTGCCCCTTTAAACAATACTCCAAACAGAACACCTAAAGTGATAGAAACAATACTATACAGTACAAAACGGAGAGATATAAATTTTTATTCCTAGCAAGTCCTAGCAAGTATTAAACATATTTTTAATCTAGATTAGATAAGGAACTAAATGAGACGGAAAGAAATATGGATGTGGAATGCAGACCCGAAGAGAAGATCGTTGGCGGTTGAAATGGATTATTTGAGAAGCAAGTGCTAGAACATCAAGACTGGAAAGGAAGACCAACGAATCTATGAGAAATAACATGAAACTGCTACAGAAACGGTCATTGAATAATAGAAAGAAGAGGTTTAAAATGGTTTGGACACCTATTGAGAATGCCTGACGAACGCTGGCCCCAAAAACGTCACAGATGGAATCCCCCTGGAAGAAGAAAAAGAGGTAAATCTTGACGCTCATGGAATGAAGGAATTAGAAGAGCGATGGAATCGAGAGGTTTGGAGGAGGAGCATGCCTTGGACAGGGAGGATTGGCGGAGGAGAACGGGAATACGGCGATAGCCGTCTCCAAAATGTATTGTATTTACAAGTTGGATTGGAATTATCAGGTAAAGTGGTCTCTAATAAAAATCTTTGATTTTTCTAAGAAACTCAATATTTCGCTATCAGGAGTACACTGTAAAAATGTTCCTAATATTAGAATAGCTAAATATAATACCATGAACAGCAAAAATATTTTCAAAAATCAAAGACCCAGTATCAACCAAAAAGTAATGTTGTTTAAATACCGTGTCTAGGATGTCAAAATAGCTACATTGGCCAAACATCACAATGGCTAAAACAACGCATCAAACAATTTTATATAACCTGACTAGTTAATATTTCATTATTTTTAGTACAAGAAATGAGAACATGCTCCAATTTTTAGTACTGAATCGACGCACACATCTAAATAATTTGTAGATACAATATTTTTAGTACTAAATTCAGTACTGAATTTAGTATGACAAACAGACCTAAGGGAAAGTCTTTCTGGGGAGGCTAGGGAGAATATCGGAAAATGCTAGTAACTTTCAATATTGGTAGCAGAAGTTACATGAGACAATGGCCCAATTTTTTGGACCCAGACAATAAAAAAAAATTGTAGAAAACACACAGGTATGTATGGAGCTAAACATTCTAAAATTTTAAATTAACAAGTATGAAGTGTCCATAGTAAGTTAATAAAAACTTACCAAATCGTCTTTTAGTCGAGCATATTTATCTGCCTCTTCCTTTTCTAATCTGGCTTCTTTTTTCTCTGCATTGATACCTTTTTTCTTCTGATATGCACAATTGATTTCTTCTTGAGCCTTCTGCATTTCCTGTTGAAGTCTAGAATATTCTTCTTTTAAGGATCCCGATCTATAATATCAGAAATACAATTTAGTTTAATTCAATCGAATTCAAATGAATATGTATGGTGATAAGTAAATATTTATCAAAATAAAATGTATTTACACACTATGTCTACCTCAATAGACATACCTATATAGTACTATGTTTTAAATAGGACTTACCCACTAATTTCTTCAAAAAGGGCAGTCATTTCTTTTGGATTTTTCATTGCCACTGATTCAACAGCACCTTGAAATACTAAGAAATTCTTGGCTTTGACATTAATCTTTAACTTCTCCAATTCGCCAAGGTATTCATTAGATGAAACAACCTAAAACAAGTTTGGTTAATAATAAAAGAGAATTCTCACACAAATGCCGGGACCAATGTCATCATTATAAAGCATATAATATCTTATAAGCATATATCCCTATATATCTCTCACAATGTTTTCTAACGCCAGGTTGAATAGGTACAATAGCGGATCACCCTGGTGTAGTCCTGTATTAGTTTTAATTCATTCTGGGAGATTTGTACTCACACTTTCCATTTTATTTTCCTTATTGTCATTTTAATAGATAGACTTTCACTTCAAAGTCACATGTAAGTTCAAAAAGTGACTGAAATGGTTCAGGATGTTATACCAACAGTGCCACTCCTATATGTTCCTATTTATGGCAGCATCACATAATGTCAAAACAAGTCTCAAATACTGCATGATAGTACTGAATACTGTTAATAGGTTTTAATGTTTGTGCAGGCCTAAACAACATTATAATGGTTTTAATAACATTGTTCTGATTTGCACTTTTCATAAAAAAAAAAAAATAAATAATAATTTAAAAAAATAACAGTATATGTTTTAAACTTACATTTCCATCAACCCTATATTCTGAAGATGAACCCAGGACAGACCTCTGGAATGCTATTTCTCTGCCATCATCAACAATAAACATTGCTGTTACTGAAGCACTGCAAAACATTTATTTAATTATTTTGTGTATTGAAATTCTCACACCATACAGAAATATTGCATATTGATAGTTATATAAATTTCTTACGGATTAATATACTTATTACCAGTGGCGTGCAGTGACATTTTTGGAAGAGGAAGCGATTCAATAAGGGTATAAAAAATATTTTCTTACGAGGATCAATGTCAAAATATATATCTACTTAATAGCTATATACCTAATATATTACTACCAGTTAACTTATAAGGACTAAAAACAAAAACCATAAAAAATTATATGTAAAAAAGATGGTTTCTTTATATTTAAAAAGAATAGTTCTATTTATAATTGCTTTTTGCATCAATAGTGCATTTACCTAAATCGTTTTGGATTCTGTTTGAGGTACCTGGAAAACTATTGAATTAATAAAATATTTTTTTAGGGTCTGTTAAGTATTTGTAAAAATACATTGATACACCACTGTTTATGCCATTTGTCCGCATACTGTCACAGCAGTTTTAATACTTCCTGTCAAACCCTCAAAGGAACAACATGTACTGCAAAGCAGTGGATAAAGAATTTATGTTAAATCAGTTTGTCCACTATACTAAAATTAGAAACTAATGTGTCTAGGAGCATTCCCCATGTAATACCTCTGAAACTTAATTCATGCTCTCCCAAGAAACAAGTTACATCAATTAATCATTTTAATACATCCCTATTTGCTTTTACCATTTCATTGTGAAGTCTGTGACTTATTTTCAAATGATTGTCATATCTAAGTTCAATGCAATATTTCCTGAATGTTTTTTCTTGAATTGTAGCACATAAATGACCCTTACTATTTACAAAGAGTTTTGCACTTTTGTAAAAATGATTTGAATCTGCAATGCCAACTGAGTTCCTATGTGTTTTCTTGCTTGTATTAAAAAGTAAACAAGGCCATCAAAATAATTTTAAAACTGTTTAAGAGTACAATTGGTTAACCATTCATACTTCTCATAAAAATCCATGTGAACATGTCTGGTAAATTTCTTTGTCAATTTTGAACTTTTGTCTCTAAATTAAAGAGGTCCATTGACCTATTAGACTTCATAATGTCCAGTTTCTCTTGATAACTTGAAAATCCTTTTTTTAATAAACAACACACAATACAAACACAGTTTTGTACATTGTTCACAAACCCTCACAACAGCCCTTCACTCGCTTCTTCCATTGCGGAAAAATATAAACAGCATAGAAAAAAAAAGCAACACAAAATTTACAATTTTTTCAACAGACAGTTGTCACTGATTGTACATTGACTGCTACTAAATAAGGCAAAAGGCAGCTGAGAAAGTGTTGCCTGTTTACCAAATTTCCGCGTAATTCAACATGACTCGTGGGTGAAGTCATTAATCCCTGAGGCAAGTTTGAAGGGAAGTGTGGTTATCTGACTTGATGTATTGAATTGTGTTGCTCGGGCATGGCCATATTTGAGCTCATTTATATGATCAATTTTTAATACTTTTCGATGCTTATTGCCTACATAATAGATTACTTAGATTAGGGAAAAAATGTTGATAATTAAATATTAATTATATTAATTATTATTATAATATATTTTCTAATATCGAAGTTTAGGGAAGCAGTGCTTCCCCTGCTTCCATGGATCGCACACCTCTGCTAATTACTTAATAAATACATTATTATACAATGTTCCATACATATTAGTTATCAACCATTCCAAAATTATTAACAAATATCCAAAAAATTCAAAATATATTTATTATACCTTCTGGAAACAGGTCTACTGATAGCAGCACCATGAACTAAATCACTTAATCTTTTGACTCTTAAACTTTGTGTTTTCTCCCCCATTACAAAACTGATGGCATCCATGAAGTTAGATTTACCTAAAACATGAATTAAAAAATAACTGATCTGAGGACAAGTGCAAAAATATTTTTTCATAATAGTAATGCTATCAATCAAAAAATATTTACTTGTGGTATCTGTAAGAATAACATCACAATTGAAAAAATGTAATCTTTATGCAACATCTCTACCACATTGAATGTATCTATTGAATTCAATTTGAAAAGTAATACTTTAAATAAAGGTTTTTTTCAAATGATTGTGGTGATTTTACAAATTATGTATTATATATAATTTATATATAATATATTTGTTATTAGTAACAAAACAAAAGCCTTCAATAAACATTTGACATCATTTTCTAAATTCAAATTCAGGCTACATCTTTGAAACAGTGTGGCCTTGATTTAGCCAAGTTTCATCTAAATTATCCTGTTCCTACTTACTCCTTTTATATATTTAATATTTATTTGCCTGATTGTTTGAAAGAATATGTGGGATGGCAGTGACATTTTGGGTGTAGTTAGAATCTATTTCAACTGTAAATTTATTTAAGGTTGGGATTTCATTTTGGAAAAGAAAGCATGGAATTTTCTCAGAATAGCATACTTAATATTCTCTTCTAGCTGAAGATGTTTAAAAGCTACACGCATATAATTACGTCATTGTCCAACATTTTCATTCCTTGCATGGAGTCCACGATATATGTTTTTTTTATTGTCATCATTAGTGCCATGCCATCACAGCTCATTATGAGCCAAAGTCTTCTCCAGAACATTCCTCCCTTGATCCCTGTCTCTAGCAACTCCACTAGATTTTAAATCATCCTCTAAGTTGTCTTGATACCTAAGTCTCAGTCTTCCTCTAGCTTGTTGTCCAATCAGTCCACTTTGGTCACAAACTTTCTTGACTATTGCATCTTCTTGCCTGATTACATGTAATATCCATCTAAGGCGTACTACCTTAATGATTTTTACATCAGATTCACTGAAACTTCTATACAACTCAAAGTAGCAACAGCTGCAGCACAAAGCTTTTATTCCTCCATATATTCTTCTTAAGATTAAAATTTTGCTTACAGTGTTTTCTTTGACTATTTCACCCTTCATAGATAAACAATATAATGAGAATTATCAAATAATTTAAAAAAATCCACAAGGACAATGAAATTCCTGTAGTTGGCTGTATACCATCTATCACAGAAGTTTATTTAAATTCCTTTATAAAAGGAATATAATTTAAATTCCTTTCATTTTACATCATAGAACATTTTTGGACTAAAAAGCCCATCGTCAGTGTTTTGTTACTTTGTGCACATGAGTTAAGCCACTAAATACCTGGGTAAAAACCCTTTAGAAGGTACAAAATTTATTGCTTCTTACATTTTATTGAAAATTATGTTGTGTATTTGAATATTTCTTAGATAACCTACATGGTAACGTAAGACTCCCACTAGGGGTGCTGCTGATCCCCAGATGAGGTCTGAATTGGTTCTAGGTGACAACAACTTGAGTTGCCAACTCAATTAGTAAATTAAGAATCAAGAACTACACTTGCAATAGAGCTTCAAAATAAGGAAAATCTCACATTAAGATACAAAGAAAAACACTATTATCATATCTTCAAGTTACTACTAAGGAAACTAAAGTTAGCATTAGGAAATATGCAGTAATAAAGAATAAATCAAAAAACAGCCATGAATTTTACAGTTTGTAATAAGTATATTGTTTCAGAGACTGTTCGCCACTGTAATTTAGGTGCTCAAAATAATTATAAGAAACAATCGTGATAATTCATGCAGTTCAAGCATTCTTGAAATATGAAAGATATTAAATAATACAGTAGATGAACCTAAACATTGAATAAAACACTCGAAAGTTCAAACTCAGTACAAATTCGGATGAAAATTCAAAGTAGTTATCTATAACAGGCAATTGTTTTTAAAAAATTAAATATTTTACAGTACCTGACCCATTTGGACCAATAACAGCATTGAAGGGTTTAAGGGGCCCAATTAGTTTCCTACCCCTGTAGGATTTGAAGTTCTCCACTTCAATATGTTTCAATCTTGCAGCCATCTTGTGGCATTCGGTAGTTTAGCTAAAAATCTATAATATAATATATTTAAGTGTTTTATTCAAACTATTTGATTATTTTATTTTGACCAAATTACATCTACAACAATTAATATGGCGGCGCCTATTTCAAACAAATGAATTTGACAAATGACAGCTTCATAATAGGAAGTGACTCTATAACCGATGGTCGTAAGCGTAGCATTTAAACCCGTGTGTAGTGGGAATAAAGATGAGTATTATCACAGCCACCTTTACTTCCAAGGTGGCTGTGGTATTATTTAATAATAAACACATCCACTGTTAACACTTTTATTTAAAATATAAGTATATTGTGAGCAATTAATTTATTACACAAATTACTAATCGATACTTATCATTTAATTACCGCTTTATTTCCAATAGTGCCATTAATATTACAGTTTACCATAAACTAATGAGTAATAAGTCATAATCTGTACGCTACCCATCGAGCAAAAAGACAATTGTCTTTTTGCTCGATGGCGCTACCACTGCTACAGGCAGGCTGCGACTCAATTGAACCAAAGTTTGTCTTTAACAAACCTTACAAAATCGAAACAAGAGAGTATAGGGAGACAAACGTGGCAAATGCCTATTGCATATACACCGATGGCTCCAAAATGAAAGAAGGCTCAAGATGCGGGATATAATACAGATCACTGAACCTAAGAGTAAAGTGGAGTATGGGCAAAAATGCCAGCGTAGTTCAGACAGAACTGGCTTCGAGTCACGAAGTTATATGTTATTTTATTTTTTCAATAAAAATATGGAAAAATTTAAATATTTTTTATTTTTTTTAATATGTTTTTGTAGTAGACTTTCATCTATTATGTTTAAAACAAAAGTAAATATGCTTTCTTGTATATCAAATCTAATGGTCAAAATATTCAAACTCAAAGTCATTTTTCTCAGTTTCTACATTGTGTATCATACAACCTTGTAATTATTAGGCAGCGATTTGTTGCCAAAATTCAAAACTAAAATTTCATGTTAGTCAATGAAAGAGATACATTGAATTATTGATCTCATGAGAATCATTAAATTGCAAAAATCGCGCCACGTTTATTTATTTAACACATTTATAAAAACTAAGTTCACATGCGGCAAAATACAAAGAGCTCATAAAAATGATATTTAGCATTGATTTCGCTCGCGTAATTGACATTCAAACTCACCGATCGCTTCAATCGTTGTTTCTGAGAGAACGGTTGATTCTACACAAAAAATGTAAATAAACGTTTTTGTTCAAAACTATCTTAGCTACATTTATTTAAAACATTTTTTTCTATGGTGTACAGATTCTTGGTAAATCGATTTTTTTCCGTTTTCCCCACTCTACGTGGGAGGTTTTAAGGGGAATGCCCGGGGGAAAAGTACTAAACTTTTACCCCATCTTTTTAGCGTTCTGAAATTGATATTTTCGACAAAATTCAGCTTGTACATATGATTTTTAGAGGTTCCGTGGCATTTTCGTAACTTTAGATCGTAGTCTTTTATATAATTTAGGAGTTAGGGAATCTATTTTAATGTACTTTGAGGAGTCTACAATAGGTATCTCTATATTTTTCCTGTTTTTATAACAATGACTATATTTTTTATCGATTTTATAGGTACTATTAAGTTTATTTTTCCATTTCTTTTTTAATGTCCTGTTAGAATAGATTGGACATTGCATTTTGTTAAATTGAAGTTTCTATTTGCGTTCTCTCGAGTTTCTCGTATTGCTGGAAAACCTTTATCCACAACTATTGTTGTAATATTTTTAAAGATTTGGTAAGTATATCTTTGGTGTATGTTTGGGAAATTATGTACTATTTCTTTTTATATTTTTACATTTAATATTTTTCTTTTCTTCTTCTTTCATTGCCCTGTTCGATTATCGAACGTTGGCGATCATATTGGCAATAATAACCTTATTCACGGCGGCTCGCGAATTTTTATCCTTTTTGATATTTCTGTGCTCTTTTTCATTCGATGTAAAACTATTTCATTTCTTATTCGATCAACTCAAATTATCCGCAATACTCGTCGATAAATCCACATCTCAAAGACCTCTAATATTTTCATTAATGTCTCTGTAAGGGTCCAGCTCTCTATACCATACAGCACTGTGGAGAATATGTAGCAGCGTATTATTCTGATTTTAAGATTTAACGTAATATCTCTATTAATTACAATTTTCTTTAATTTATAGAAGGCGGCTCTGGCTTTTTCAATTCGTATTCTTATTTCTTTATTTATATCCCAGATATCATTAACGTTTGGACCCAAGTAGGTAATATTGTGGACTCTTTCTAACTCTATTCCATACGCTCTGATGTTCGTTTATTGTAAATCCGTTTTGCTGACAACCATAAATTTTGTCTTAGAAGTATTAAATTTTAGCCCATATTCATCACATGCTTCGGTTACCCTATTTATAAGTCGTTGCAGGTATTCTTCATTGGAGGCAATAAGTACCGTGTCGTCTGCATATCTGAGATTGTTGACATTAATTCCGTTGATTTTAATGTCTGTATCTTCAACTAAGGTTTCTTTGAAAATAAATTCGGAGTAGATATTGAAAAGTAGTGGCGATAGAATACATCCTTGCCTCACTCCACGTCGTATTTCCACTGCTTCCGTCGTGTTGTGTCCAGCTCGTATGTTCATCAATTCCCACCTGTTGCAAGACACCTATAAGTTTGTCATGGTTTACTCGGTCAAAGGCCTTTTCAGGGTCGATAAAACACATATATACTGGTTGTCCTATATCCCTACATCTTTGAACCATGACCTGCAAACTGAAGAGGGCTTCTCTGGTTCCAAGGTTGTTTCTAAAACCAAATTGTGTTTCACTTAGTTGTACTTCTATTTTGTTGTAAATTCTCGAGTTCAGTATTCTTAAGAAAATTTTTAGTACATGACTCATCAGACTGATAGTGCGATGATCGCTACACTGTTTGGCATTTATATTTTTCGGTATCATTACAAATGTTGATAGTAGCCAGTCTGTTGGTATATGTCCTGTTTCGTATATTTTATTAAAGAGGCTTAGAAGAGAATGTTTGCCCTTATCGTCAAGCAGTTTGATTATTTCGCTTGGAATTTCATTTGGACCGGTTGCTTTCCTATTCTTTGATAGCTTTATAGCTCTTTCCAGTTCATCGAGTGTTATGTTTGGACCAGTCGATATATTTTTTATTTGAATTTCTGTTCTATCGTCATAAAACAGCTCCTTAATATATTCTTTCCACTTCTCTAATCTGTCTCGTTCATTGACTATAATATTTCCTTGTTTATCAAGTAAACTACTTGCAGTTGTTCTATATGTTCCAGTTATTTCTTTTATCTTTTTGTACATATTAAACGTGTCATTCTTTTTCTGCAGTTCTTCTATTTCAACACATTTGTTGCTGTACCATTTTTCCTTTGCATCCCGAATTTTCCTTCTGATTTCCTTATGAATTTTATTGTATTCTTCAGTATTTTTATTTTTCTGTTTTCGTCTGCTTTCCATTAGTTTCAATATTTCATCCGTAATCCATTGTTGTTTGCGATTATTAATAGTTTTATACTTTTTAGTTGTTTCTTGCATAATGCTTTTGACATGATTCCAGTGATCTTCGACGTTATGTGTTTCTCTCGATTTTTCAAACTTCTTTTTTATCTCTTGTGTAATTTCATGATTATTATTATGAATACAGTCAGTGTTTATTCGGTTAGTCGGTTGTTGGCGTTTTACTATTTTAAGTTTGAGTTTTATGTCACTGATTAATAAGCAGTGATCTGAGGGGATATCGGCTCTAGGTAGTGTTTTAGTTATTTTGATTGAATTTCGGTACCTCTCGTTAATTGTTATATAATCGATCTGATTTCTTATGATCTTTTCTTTAGTATCTGCTGGTGACTTCCAAGTATATAAACGACGTTTGGGTAGTTTGAAGAATGTATTTGTCACACAAAGATTGTTCTCTACGCAGAATTCTACAAAACGGTCTCCTCTGTCATTACGTTGTCCAAGTCCAAAATTCCCTACAATGTTTCCTTGTCTACCTTTTCCTACTTTGGCATTGAAGTCTCCTATTATTATAGTAATGTCTTTGTTTTTCCGCTGACTCATTACCTTCTTTATACAATCATAAAAATTATCTATGTCATCTTCACTACTATTTAAAATATATAAAGAAATTATGTACTATTTCTTTTTATATTTTTACATTTAATATTTTTCTCTTAGTGTACTATAATGTGCTATCTCATTTATTATGTTTCAAGTACGAAGAATTTGGCTTTCTCTTTTGTATTTTGTGTCACAAATATAGAAACTAGTGTAAAGTTTCGTATTACTGTGACAATTAACTTAAATTATCGCCATTCAAAATCATCCTACAATAGGGTTGATTTATGGGATGCTCTTGCCCCACGAGCTGTTGACCACCCAACGGTTAGAGGGTTCTTTCTGACCTTCTCAAGTCCCAAGACATTCATCACAAGACAGCGAACGAAACACCCTGTTTTATCGGTTCTCGTGCTATCGAGCCTCGGCGTTCCCGGGCACCCCGGCGTGGTACCAACGAGATTCCACTGGCTAAGAATACGACCAATACGATCAATATTTAAAAAAGTGAGTCTATATTCTTTGTACAGACAACAGTAATGAGTAAGGCTAGTTAATTTCGTAATTTATTTACAGTTGTATTTGCTATTTTTTGCTAATTTATTTGCAAACAAAATATTGCATTTTTTTCCTCCATTATTATTCTAACTTCATTTAACCAGCGACCTTTAAGTTTTATACAAAACAACGTATAAAATATAAAAAGTAATAATCTTATATACACTTTAGAATTTCATCTTCAATTTCTTTTAACTCTTATTACATTATAAAGATTTCAGGATATTATCTTTAATTTAATTTTTTTGTTGTGTTGATTGCTATTTGTTTTCTTATTTACAACATACAATTTGTACCGATTCTGCATTATTTCCTCACTTATCTAGCTTTGGTATAATTGAAGGTCATTTTATTTGTTTTTATTAATACCTTTGCAGTCTACAGTTTTCCTTTGGGCGCATCATTGATATTTCGATATTAAAGAAAGAGTTTTCTATTTACGATCCTGCACCTCTATATGTACTTCTCTGATCCAAGATCTTTGACCATTTGGTTAACTCATTTGTTAATATACGAATGTAACTTTATACCAGCCTGAAATCGGTTGTAACTGTTTTTCACAAGTAGATATCTTCATGTTTAGAAAAAGAAACAAATATTAAGCATAGTCTTTATTAAATATATCTCCTTTGCAATTACAAAATATAACATAAAAGTATTTATTTACAAAAAATATTAAACAATATTCATATATAAGATGTACAAATATGGCAGTATGTGGCCTTACAAAAAATATTGAGATCATTCGACCCCTTTACACGATATAAATAATACAAAAACATAAAATATAATTCTTAAACTTACACTTCAGATATTCACAAAACTTTAAAGCCTTTATAAAAATTAATATTGCAAAATTTAATTTACATATCACAATATACATTTCATACAATATTTGTACAGCCTACTGACACCTTAAGAAGTTATATACATTCATTGGTTTGTCATAAAATTACATTTTCGACCAAGAGTTTATTATTCCAACCATATTACTGAAATATACACATACATCTCAAAGAGGCTGTGAACAAAAATGTAATATTTGTACCTATAAACAATGAGAAAAATACACTAGCACGTCAGTAAATATTCAGAAAATATTTTTTAAAAATCTATAGACATCTATGTCACTCAGTCGTTAACAAGTATTGAATGCTGTAGTCAAAGAGGAAAATGATCTAGAAATAAAGATAAAAGGTGGATAAACGTAAATGGCTGAAGTACATATTTCAAATCGCTATATACAGGGTTGGGAATCCTAGAAAAGAACATATCAGATTTTATCTCTCTACGCTGCGAATATTCCATTTGTCTCTCTAGAACATTTTGAGTGGGTTTTTAAACAGTGTGAAAAATGTTTTAAAGCAATGTCTAAATAAAAAATTGAAGAGTGACTGAGTATTAAAGCATGTTTTTTATATATTTGAACTTCTAATTTTTAGTATTTTTTAGTGTTTATTAAAATACAAATATCGATAGACGATAGATGGTTTAAAATTTGACCAGTCTTTTTCTAAATTGAATTATTATTATCTAATTAAATTACAATTTTGTTAATTTCGAAAAAACGTACCTATCCAATTCAATTCGATTCGATAATTTGATTGTTCAACAATCTCAACCAATGTGTTGAATACTGATAATTAAAAAAATATATTTTTAGAGGGACAGGTCATTTTATTAGGGCTTTAAACCTACCAGGTGGTCAAAAAACATCGCTAGAGATATGTAGGTTGAAGCGTGAGAAAACATATATAGTTGGTCAGCTGAGTGAAAGCACACTGTTTCCATTATTGTTAGTTTTGCAAGATCACAAGACTTAAGAGCGTAGGCGCAAAATTTCGAGCAAAGATTACTTTATCACCGAGGGCCGAAAGTACGAAAACTTCTATAATGTTTAATTTATTAAGTTACAGGGGTGAAAACAAAGAGAACATTAAGTGTGATTTTTAATTTTAAATATCTCATTCAAAAGAAACGTTTTCTTTGTTTATTCTAAGGGACTTTCAGGCGACCTTACCTGTTAATCTCTAAACTAAACTCTATTGGTTTTAGCGTATACCCCTGTCGTATGTAACTTAACGTATCGCATTTGCCACCTCTCTGTTTGTTACGTTAAAAACTAGATGTTCATTTCTTCGAGTTCCGACAGTGTATATACCAAATAAAAACATAATTTCTTATAGGTACAAAAGTTTTAACAAAACAAAACTTTTGTTTAAACAAAAGCTTCTGACAATGGAGTTCAAATGAGGATCGAACAGGTGAGTCAAGAGATTACAAATACCAAATCCTCTTCGCATACTATCTACAGAAAACTTACTAATGTAGGTTATGTGACTCGAATAAAAATATAGTCATTTAAGTTCTATAAAAAAACAGAGATTTACGGAAAAAGTTTTTGGCTATAGATGTTATTCTAGAGGTTATACCAATGTACTAAACAATATACTGCAAAAACAGTATAGGAGAGAGATCGATTTGTCATAATAGCACACATTTTGTAATACTAAAGATGGTAGATGCATTATACCTATACCTATTATAAAAAAAAAAACTATTGAAAGAGCTAAACAATTATTATACAATATTAGTTTGAATCACTATTAGTTTGATTAATACTAGACCTTCAAGAACTCTGACAAGAACTAAGAGGTTGAGACATGAACAGTAGGTATATAATAATCTACACTATACAGTAGGTATATAGGTAAATAATAAAATATTAATATGTAGATAAATATTAATATGTAATAGACCACTAAAATTCTGATGGTGTTTTTCTATAGATACCTACCTAACTATTCTTATTACCGTAATCTATTCGGTTGAAAATTATAATGGATTTCAAAAATATTTATTTCAGACAAACCAATTACAAACATTTCTTAAAGCAATCAAGAATGTGAGTACAAAAAAATTTCAACATTTTTAAACCCATCTCATTTAAGCGCACATTTATATACATATTTTTGTATTCACATTCCAAAATATATTACTTAAATCTTAAAAACTATTGAATCATTTGTAAAAACCTATTTTCCTCTAACAGAGAGCTAAGAGATGAGGTCATATCATTAACTACCATGTTTGAACTAGGCTTCTCACCAACTTTTAAAGGGTGAGTACTACTGCTAACAGTCTCTGAGTTATTAACCCATGATTGACAATTCTGTACGTATTCTAAGGTTCTCAGGTAAGCATCCTGTCGCATACCTAACGTGACAGTTGTACCATTATTTGTACCATTATTTACACCGTTATTTGGAACACCCGGTGACATTTGCGATTGGCTAACGTCATTGCATTGTATCTCACTATTTTGCTGGTTACAACATTGGTTATAACCCGGTTTTTTGCAGTTACAACTATTATGTTGGTTAGGAATGCATTGATTAGAATATTGAGAACCGGGATAACAGTTTTGCGTATAATGTGAGCAAGGTCTCGTCATTTGCGCTTGTTGAGGTGGGCTCATTATTTCAGTGGGTGCAGGTGTAGCTATCGCTGGTGAAGCCATAGGTTCGGACATATTTGGCATGCAATTATAACCTGTTTGATAATTATTACAGTTGTAATGGTTCTGATGATTTTGACCATAATGATTATTACAGTAATGATTTGAATTATTACCCATGTAGCTATTTTGAACATTCATTTGACGACACATATGATTGTCCTGCTGTGCAATATTTTGACAACTACAACCTTCCCAATGTTGTACAGAATAGCAATTACCATGCGTAACTTGGCGGTTGAAACAGTTCATGTTCATCATTTGGGAGTGACACCTCATAGGCATTGGATTTTGTTGCATACCATTGTTTTGCATATTGTAGTTGTTTGGTACATAATTCGACATAGGTGCATGATTCATATTTGGATTTGGAGATGGAATCATTTGATTTATGTTGGTAGATGCCGGGGAATGCATCATTTGTTTCATATTATTTCCAGAAGGAGAATGAATCATTGGAGTTATATTAGTTGCTGGCGAGTGCATTACTTGATTTCGAGCAGATGCAGGTGATGGCATCATTTGGTTTAGATTTGTCGCTGCAGGAGAAGGCATCATTTGGTTTAAATTGGTAGCCGAAGGAGAGGGCATCATCTGATTTAAATTTGTTGTTGAAGGAGAAGGCATCATCTGATTTAAGTTAGCTGCGGATGGCGACGGCATCATTTGATTTAAGTTGGGTGCTGATGGAGATGGCATCATCATATTTGGGCCAGGTGAATTCATAACTTGGTTTAAGTTATTTGCTGCGGGCGATGGCATCATTTGGTTAATGTTAGTGGCAGCAGGTGAATGCATCATTTGGTTTATGTTCGATGAAGGAGAATGCATCATTTGGTTTAGGTTCGATGAAGGAGAATTAATTATTTGATTCATTTGATTTGTAGGTGGAGATGGCATCATCTGATTCAAGTTATTAGCAGGTGAATGCATAATTTGATTCAAGTTATTCGGAGAGGGCAGAATCTGACTGATACCAGAGGGTGACAAGTTTTGGGGAGAGGGTAGTGTAAAACTTGATGGTGATGGTATCATTTGTGATGGACTTCCCAAAGGCTTTTGGTTACTATCTGACCAACTCATAACGTTTTGATTATCAGCTACTTGATTTAAGTATCTCACCATCTCGTCAGGTATAACTAGTTTGTTTTCAACCATTTCTCCTTCTCCTACTTCGTCAAGTATAACTGCTTGATTTGGGTGAAGTTCTGACGAATTAACAGTGCCCTTTAGAGGCGACAAAGACACCGAAGCAGGCCGAGGTGGCGGACTCTTTCTATCCGTTAAAGTGTGACAAGGTTCTGACATTCTTCGGGCATCAGTGCTTGTCGTCGTTGATGCAATGTTGGAAAGGTTAGAAGAAAGCCAGGTTTGCTGAATGGCTGCTTGTTGTAATGACACGTTCTGCGTCTGAAATATAATTAAATTTAATCAATGGAGAGCATAATATTTGAAACATAAAGTTTATAAATAGTTTATTCACTACGATAATTAAGGTATATAAGAAAGTCACGTACCTGTAGTACTAAATTACCGCTGTTAGCAGTATTAGGTAAATTCTGTAGCTTCTGTAGTTGTCCAGCAAGAAGATGCGAAGGCGGTGGTGGTGGAATGCAGGCACCTCCTTGTGGAGCAGTTGTCGATAGTTGACTTGATCTTCTAGAACTACCAGCTGAAATGGGATCATAAAAGGAGCCCGGTGCAAGTCCTGGTCTCATGCTAGAAGCCTGTGATGCAAGACTGCTCTTTCGACTCATATCAGCGCTTCGCATACTACCATAATATGAACTAACTGTAGAGTTACTGTCCCTACGAATTTGAGCTTGAGTGTTGCCACCTGATGGCTGCAAACGTTGCTGAATATCTGTCAGTTGAGTTTTAGTCTGAGGTGGACCTGTAGTGTTACCTGAAATATATACAATTATAAATATTTGTTATTTTCTGACCGTGAATGTTTAGGAATATTTTATTTGAAGTAATTACTATATAAATGGAAATAAGTCACAATTAAAGGTTAAAGTAAGTTTATTGGCGTTTCAATTTCCACTTCGGGAATCGTTCTCAAAATACAAACACTAATATAATAAATATTTTTTCACAATATTTTTTGGAGGTTGACAACCATTATGACTATTATCATGGCTATTATCAATCAATATTGTCAATAAGATGTTTATAAAGAAAATTTTAAGAACTGTAATTGAATATATACTGACCAGATAAATCAATATCAACAGAGAAGAATGATTGCTCACGAAAACAGCATATGAACAAATATACCAAATGCTACAGCCTTAGCCAATCTGTTTGGAAAATAACCATTTAGGCGATTTTGAAAAGGTACAGATTATAGAAAGGGGGTCAAAATGTAATAAAAGATGTAAATTGGAGATGATTCGTTTTGAAAATCAACGAAACTGTGTTAATAATAAAACAGATATAAAAGTCGTCTTCAATATAATTTAATAAATTAGTCGCTAGCATATAGGCATACAACGCATGTCTATTTTTATTTTAAGGCATTTTATATTTTATAAAAACTATAAATCTTACCTTCCATCTTTAGGTCGGTAATTCGTCTATTAAGGTCAGCGATATTTTTCCTCTGAGCGGTCATTGAAGGTATGCTGGTTGGTTTTCCTTTTGTTAGGTGTTTCATTCTCACTCGTGGCGTTCTTTCTGCTAGAGCAACACCTCCCCTTTCATTTCCTATGCCCACCATGGCTCTTAAGACAACAGGAAGTTCATCAATTTCCAAATCCTCTGCATCGTAAGTCCAAGGCATGTCATCGGAAGGACCTAATGTTCCTCCTATATCACCAGGAAGATCATCGTTGAAACCACCAAGACCTAAAAATAATTTAATCATTATTTTCACTTGATGACACAAATTTATGAGATATGAGAAATTACAACAAAAGAAAACATAATTAATTTTAATTGTTTTTTACCTGCAAGCTGAGTAGCTCCAAGTGGACTTCCTTGTTGTTGTTGACCAGGTGAATTGACATCAGATTCAGATTTGATACTGGGACTACTGAGACTAGTCGTTTTATGACTTTGCATGTCTTCACTTCTCGGACTGGAGTCTAAACCAGCGGGGCCATCATCGGGTCCTTGTTCTGAGCCTTTGTGTTTTTTACTGGCGTAAAATTCGGCTCCGTGAACAGTTTTGACGTGTTTTCGCAGGGAACTGGGATCCGTGTATCGCTTTGTGCAACCTGGCGCTTTACACACATACGGTTTCTATTAAAAAAATTAACCTATTAGCAGTTGTTCAAATTTGAAATGTAAGAAGAGACAATTTAAGATTTTTATTAGTCTATTTTAATACATAATACATATGACATTAACCATGCACAAAAATGTTCCAGATATTACTTACGAGTTTCCTAACCCAGTACGCAACAGAAATAATATTTTATTAAAATAAATACTGATGTACCTCTTTATTAAAGAAATATGAGTGCGATGTATGTTTTTTTGTAAACACAATATCGCCATTGTTGGATTTCCCCTATTTTATTAGTAATTTAAAGAAGAAAATATTATAGAAAGAGCGATCAACTTTGATAATTAAATATGAAATGAATGGAGAGATTCCAAAGCATCGAAAGAGATAAAAAACAAAAAATAGTAAACAGTATAAAACTGGAAAACAAAACTTAAGCCGTTGACCTATAAAAACACTAGATATGCAGACATGAATATGATTAGAATTATTAACGATTTATCCTTTATCATCCAGCTCGTGGAAGCCCACGAAGTAATCCCAATTCGACTTTACAATACTATCTCATCGGTGCTTTGTCACTGAAGCAGATTTTAAATTTAATTTTCGTAATGGCCTTTAGTATTATCGTGGCATTTGTTTGAATAGTCTATGCCGTCGAAATGTTACATTTCTGTGACATTTTGAGTTTTGGAAATACGAAAAAGTCGCAGGATACTGCAGTTATGTAATTACCTACTGTACGCAGACCAGTGGCATTATGTAGCATAACGTTTTGTCGAAACCTGTTGCACAACGTTCGACGATTGTGCTGGTTCATTATCATTATGAAGGAACCAGTTGACGTTCGCTAAAAGATGATCCCGTTTTTTCTCACTGCCTCACACAATCTTTTTAGGATTTGGACGTAAGATTTTTGTTAATTGTCTGGCTTTTTGATGCACAACATCTTCATGCATTGTCAAACGACGATTTTCTTCGATCTTAAGTATCACACGGTCGATATTTTTCTTGTTGTGCTAGAAGTTTGGCCACAACGGTGGTTACTGTTAAAGACGTGCGGCCATTTTGAAACAGCCTCAGTGATATTAAAATACGACGAATGCAAAAAAGACAAAGGGAAAAAGCATATTACTATGAAGTCATTGGTAACAAAGGCATGCGGCAAGTTAATGAAGAGTGCTGATTTCACTCTACTTCACAGAGAGTACTTAAATATTATAAATGAATGTCAAATTGTGACATACTTCGTATATAAAATAAATTTTGGGGTCACTGTAATTTTAAAGAAACTCGATTTCTAACGAATGTAGCTCTTGAAACAAGTTAAAATTAGAAGCTACACAATAATACACAAATAAAGTCTAATTAAATAATATTTATCTATGAGCTAGCAAACGAGTTATTGGCGGAGAATAGCCAGGAAATCAAAATTTGAGTGATTGCAAATTATGCAATCGACATAATGTTTGAAAAGGTAAAAACTGGAACAAACGGCATTAGAAAGTATTTTTTGGAGAATTAAGAAAATAAATAAATACCCACTGATAAGATGGACTGATATTCGTATTTAATGTAAGTAGTATTATACTTCATTTTTCCCATGTTTATACGTAAACCTACTAGATAGGTACTACTAATGTATTACTAATATTTAAATATTTGTAGACGTTTACCTCATTACTATGTGTTCTGTTTTGGTGCTTAGCCCTGTCCGAAGCATTGCTAAACGCCTTGGCACATCCAGGATATTCGCAAGTATACGGTTTTTCGCCAGTATGGGATCGAAGATGAGTCTTGAGGTTTTCCAGTCTTGAGTAAGCTTTTGCACATCCTTCGAACTGTAAAATAGATACATGATTACTAAGTAGATTCATGATACTAGGTAGATATATTACTAAACACATACATGACAATTAATATTAAATTCAACAGTCTTCCGCGGGTTGAACCGCGGGGATTATGATTGCGCCGTGCTTTCGATATCTCTTTAATGTCTTCTTCAAGGCTTCCAAGGTCTCAGTCTCCAGAGACCCCACACTACTACAATGATCACTAACCAACGCATTACAACTACTGAGAACAGCGGACAGTTCATTTATACCGTCGACGATGAGATGACTTGGGTGGAGGTTGGTTTAGGAGTGACAGCAGTATTTATACAGGACGGTTTATATTATTATTATTTTATTATTATAACATAAGCGAGGGCAGAGGAACTAGTCCCTATTATGCCCAAAAACAAAGAAATTTCATTAATCACCTACTAGTAAATAACAAAAATTACAAATTAAAGAAATAAACTTACAATTTTATGGTTTAAAAGAAAAACAATATTTTAACTATAATATAAAACGGTCAAGTCTGTTTTTGAACGAATTGGTAGAGGGAGCGGAGACAATGTTATCGTTAAGGTTATTCCAGCACTCAAAAACTCTATTTGGAAGAAAGTTCTGTCTTGGTCTTGTAGAAAAATTTTCTTTCTTTAGTTCTAGATCCATATAGGACGATATTTTCTTTACGCAGATATTGGCTATGGTTTTGGAGCTTTTAAAAGCAATTTTGTGACCTGTATGAAGATGGTGTTGATCTAGAGTTGAAATTGAATCGGAATTGCGAATAGAAATGGAATGTTCATAAATTCAGTGGATAATCTAGGTAAATGAGATTCTATGATTTGTTTGGCCTATATAAGATCGGAGGCAACCTGCACAAGGAATTTTATAAACTCCGTATTTTTTGATTGATAAAACAAGAGATGAAAGTTTTTGTTGGAAGGTACATATTGTCTTTATTCCTCTTGATTTAAGAATTTTGTCGATTTTTTCAGTGACAACTTTGATGTAACGAAGATAAGCTTTCGTATGATGAGGGTCTGAGTCTTTGGGTTAAGATTGAGTGAGAGATTGATGTCTGTGGATGCTTCTATTTATGTGATTTTTGCGGTAACCGTTCATCATTAGACATTTAAATGCCTAATCGTCTTAACAAATTTTTTGATTAAATAAAACTACGTCCAACTAAATTTGAACATAATTAAAAGTTTACTACATTAATAAATTAATGTCTATCTAATCAAGTGTTCAAAATGTCCTCCTTTGTTAATTTGACAGCATACTAAACGATGATGGTAGAATGCGTCTATTACATTTCTCCATATTTCTCTAGAGATTAATATGAACTCATCGATAATTATTTGTCTTAGGTTAACTGTTAGCCCAATCTCTGTTTAGATTTATAAATTCTACTTTTCAAGTATCCCCAATAAAAATAATATTTAAGATTCAAATCAGGTGAACTAGGAGGCCGTTAATACTGCATAATCTAGCAATCTGGCAACATTGCAAGCATCAAATTTAAAATCTCCATATTGTTGTTTTTGTACAATTCGGAGTATCCATTTAAGAGATTATTAGGAATTTGCAGACTTTTCGTCTACTCTATGTATATTTCTTCAAGACAAGAGTATTAGGTTAAGATAATAAAAGTGAAACTTACCGTGCACTTATGAGGCTTTTCTCCAGTATGTCTCCGCATGTGAACCACCAACATGTATTGAGCTTTGAATGGTTTTTCTGCTCTTGAACAACCTTCCCATCGACAAACAAAAGACTTCTTATTTGCATGTATATGGTCATTGTTGATGTGCTGCAAAAATATATTATCCTATAGAACTCAATTTTTAATTCTTCTCATAATACATGAAACAACCAAGTAAGTAAACAACATAATACATGAAACAATAAAAGTTAAAAAAACAAATACATAATTTTATATAATAAGCTAGATTTGTGGCAAAATAGGTATATAAAGCATAAAGCTGATCAAAATTGGTAGGTGTGGTTTAGCACTCACTTCAAAGCAGGAGTACATAAATGAGGTAATTGATACTATAAGTCCATTCAATAGACTCAATCCACCCCATTTGTCAAAACGCTAGTGGTCAGCGAAAACAAAAAGATGTAAATTAATTGTAATAACAAAATAATAAAACAAGTACTGAAAGTAGAATATTTAAAAAAGAAAAAAATTATCTAGTCACGGAAAAAAGTAAGAACAAGTAGTGCAATGGGTGAATAAGACAAAAAATGCTGTGGGATTTCTAAATGAAATTACATATATAGAGAAATAACTAACTATGAACATATAAGACAGATAAAACGACAGTAAGGCAAAAAAACAAGCGCTGCGAAAACAAGGACAGGTAGATGAAAGTTCGGTTTGTTTAGAATTAAGATCTGGACCTATTTAGGCAAAATTGACGCAGTCGTATTGTGGGTTATAAAGGTACAACCATTTTATATCTATTCTTGCGCAGCCATGTAATATTACCGAAGCTAGGGTATTATTCAAGTTGGTAAGGAAGAACGTTAATTAATTAAGGGAGAATTAAGACAAATCTTCACTCATTGAAGAATACATTTATGTTTCTGTTCTAATCAAATATAACGATAGGTTAGATGATTTGTAATTATGGATTACTCAACAAAAATCTAGTAAAGTAACATAAATGAAGCTATATCGGCCTAAGCCTGTGAGCCTGAAGTCTTCAATACTCTGTGCAAGTCAAAGTGCGTGGGAAGTTCTCATTCCCCACACAGCACGTCTCAATGTCTAATAAAGTACCTCCCATGGAGGACAACGGGACAGGTATGAATAAAGTATTACCAAATAGACAACTTCTTCTGAGGACAAGACATGGGAGCTGAAACTATGTCGTTAACTGTAAATTTGTTGATTGAAGATGGCACACACACATACAGACATCTACACAATACTCAATGGGCAAAGCACAGCTGCACCAGAACTCTCTTATGATTTGGTGAGATTTATACTGCGGCTACTTCACTTTCCAGTCCCGTGATGTAACAACATCGTGTCCAGAATATGCATAGTACATGGAGAAAAGTGTTGTCTAAGCGATGCACCAGAGAGCTGAAGAGATGTAAGGTATTATAACCTTGGTATGGTATGGGCGCACTGCTGTGCCTGTCAGCGTTTCACCCGAACTGGTGGCAATAAAATGAACATAGGGTCAAAACGAAAAAGAGATGGTCCAAGATAAAAAATAAATAGAATATGGGACGCTTGGGCCTGGCAAAATTTTGTATCTCAATGACATTGTAAGCTCCTCCCACTCTGGCGGTACACACGCTTCTCAGATTTAAAGTGGATTAAAAATGGCAACCGTATTATTTTATTTTCCTGAACTAAAAATGGTGCCAATTGTCAAATATCTTGTCACGTCTTGAACAATCCTATAGTCTTCTTTTTCTTTGTATTTGTTACTGATTTTTCCTTCTTCTTTTAACTTTTCTGTCTACTTCGTGTCAAATAACAAAATTATGAAAGAATATAAAAGTAAATGTGCATGGGCAAATAAAGAGAATAATTAATTATCTATGTTTCATATCTATTAAGCAGACATAAACGGAATAATATTGGAGTAAAAGAAATAAAAATCAAAAATTTCTACAAATAAAAATATAAAGGTAACGAAAAGAGAAGTTACCCAGATCACGGATATTCTTTCTATTCAAAATAGGTCTAAATGACCCCAGTCAGGGCGTTATAGATCAATCTTGAGTACAGTAAGGTAGGTTAGGTATACCTTACTGTTAAGATCTAAGATGTCTCTTCGATGCAAGAGCCCCAGGTCGTATATAAATAAAACGTATATCGGGTGGTTTCTGAGTACTTTTATATAGCAGATCCGTGTAAGTATTGAGAACTGGTATAATAGTTAATGGAAGGTATCCAACAAGCTAATTGTCTGCAGTATGACCGATGGCAGACAGACTACTTTCAGGAGAAACACATAATAGCAATAATACAATACTTGCACAACATTTGTCAACCTAATTTTAATTGCATTTTTCAATATTTGATGGCCACAAGACCATCAACGATTCAAATTGAAATTAAGAAACATAATCTTTACGCAAGTTTAAGATTGCGTTAATAACTTACCTTAACTAATTCTTCTTGTGTCCCGAATTCAGTCGAACAGTCTTTCCAGTGACAATTTGTTTCTATGAAATCGCCTGGTTCATCTTTGAGATCAGTAGGATCACTCTGTCCCTCTTGTCCACAAGAGTTCGGAGATGGTTCCTTTTTTACTTTGGGCCTTCTTGAAGTCGTTGAATCGATATCAAGTTGGGTTATTGTACTAGTTTCAGACTTCTTTCTGTCATTTAATATCTACAAAAAAAGGAAAAATATTTAATATTAACTCTAACAAAATCAGCGCAATTTTCTTCGTCGCCTTCTTTCACCTTTTATGTTTCACTAAGTCAAAAGGTTTAGGGATCAAAATTAGTGTTTAAGGGTCTGTTAATGAGCTTTAAAGTTTTTCTTTTTTTGTGTCATTTCCAGTATAAGTAATCAGGAGCGAGCTTGTAGGGAAACTATATTATAATTAAAATTATTTACTTTTATAAACTCGATATATAATCTGAAGGTTTACTCTTAGCTGTGTGTTGTGGTTTGATGTAGTAATCGTTACCAAAGAACCATACGACAACATACAGCTAACAATAAACCCAACTGTGGCACATACAGAAATTTTAGAGATTAAATTCGATTTTACATGTGTTCGATTTGAATTTAGTTCAATCCCAAAACGTGATATTAGTAAACGATATAGGTAAACACGGGAGTTTAATTGTTATCATAATACTATTTCGCGACCCTGTATAAACAACGCAAATCGTATATTTAAAGCGAAAAAAGTAGATAGACAGAATTTAATTAACCTAACCTAACCTAACCTTGGTCAAGTGTTAAGTTATATAATAAATTAAAAAGTACAATCCACCTTTCTTTTGGGAAAAGTGAACATAGAAAATCTGTTGTGCTAATGATTGGGCTGTAACCACACAGCTTATAGAGCCAGTTTATAATATAAATATCTGGGAACTCCAATCAATAACAACAATGATTATTTAAAAGAGTTAAAATCACGATTTGAAATAATACGTAATGCTTTCATTAAAATGAAACGATTCTTTTGTAGCAAAACCTTACGAACCGGATGCAAAGATGCCATGTCGTTACAATAATGCTCTATAGCAGCGATACTCAACCTTTTTTTTCCCTGGGCCGCATAGTAGCTATTGCCACAGCTTGCGGGCCGCAATCTAGGTGAAGTAGTATAAATATATATATATATATATATATATATATATATATATATATATATATATATATATATATATATATATATATATATATATATAATCTAGAACAGCCCCTTTTATTGACTCCAACCCACCGAAACGAAAATTTATATATATATATATATATATATATATATATATATATATATATATATATATATATATATATTTGGAAAAATTTAAACGCAGAATATAATAAGTTACAGGGGTGCAGGAGTTACAGGGATGCGGGGCCGTGCCGTGCTATGATACAGCGAGGCAGTCGCATCAGGCGGCATCACAAGGGGGGCGGCATAATCAGTAAAATAAAAAAAATGTCAGGCTGTGTAAAATTGTTGTCAGAAACTATAGACAAAACGAAAAGTTACAGATAATATGGCTAATAACCAAATGAAAATTTAATGCAATTGCAGAAAAGTTTATATATGTATTGCATTTCTGAAAAGCTGAAAATGAAATTCAAGCCAGGATAAAAAAGCGAGCCAGGATAAAAATGCATTGGTTTTTTCGAATTCTGAGAAAACTAATAAGTATTTTTGAAAAATTTAAACGCAGAGTTAAAGATTACATTATTACCGAGGGCAGAAAGTCCCTGAAAATTTCTATGTCTATTTTAATAAGTTTCAGGGGTGAAAGGACAGAAAATTTATTGTGATTTTTAATTTAAAATATTTCATTCAAAAGAAACTTTTTATTTATTCTAAGGGAATTTAGGCTCTGGGTAATAATGAAATATTTCATTCTGCACTTAAAGTTTTCAAAAATATTAATTAGTTTTCTCAGGATTTGATAAAAAATGCATAAAAATGAAAGTTAAATTTCAATCATATATAGGAGGCGGCATTTCAAAGACTTGCATCATATTAAAAGATGTACCCCACGGCTCTGCAGGGGTGAAAACGAAGAGAAAATTTAGTATGATTTTTCATTTCAAATACATACAATAATGTGATCTTTCATTCGGCGTTTAAATTTTTCAAAAATACTCATTAGTTTTCTCATGATTCGAAAAAAAAAAATGTATTTCAAAAGCGTTTAAATGAGGTATCACGTGATGTCTGTACTTTCCCATTAAAAAAAATCATAGTTACGACTGTAACCTGAAGAGGGATCGCGTAAAGTTCGAAACATTTATGTTATAATAATATATGATGTGTGTGTGTGTGGATTCTACCAAAAATCGGACGCGTTAAATTAAAGCATTTATTTAAGATAAAAATTAATGTGATGGTTGACACTGACGCAAACTATCAACTATTTTAGATAAATCTGGTACGTAATTACTAAAAGCTACTCTCAAAACATTGTCATAATGAATTACAAAAATATCTAATATAATCGTATTTTTTAAAATGTAAGATTTTATAAATACATATGTAGATAAAGTCAAAAATTCTTAGTTAGCCTTCGGGCCGCATAAAAAACGCCCGAGGGCCGCATGCGGCCCGCGGGCCGCAGGTTGAGTATCACTGCTCTATAGCGTAGAAGCTACCACTATAATAAAGCAAATGTTGAAAAAGAGGTGTCTTCGAGATGTGGTTGTACAGAAAGAGACTTCGGATATCGTATTCGAATTACCAACAAAAAAGTATTACGAAGAGTCTCAAAAGATCTAGAATTGTCCTCAGGAAGTAAAAATTAGATAACTCAAATATCTGGGTCATGTGATGCGATTTACCAGATATAATTATATGACGAAAATAATATAATGACGAAACGCAACCGTCATTTATTTTTAGATATAATTCAGTACAAATATTCATTCAAGGAAAAATAGTAGAAAAACGCAACATAGCAGAAAATTTTTTCAACGTGCCTCTAAAATCTTAGGGAATGGTTTAACTGCTCATTAAACATCCTCTTTAGAGAAACAGTCAACAAAGTACAAATGGTCATATTGGGAGCGAACCTTTGTAAAAAGTCGAGGCATAATGAAACTACATAAAACACACTTTCATTGATATTTGATGGTATTGAATTATAGAAATTTTTAAATACTTACATCAGTCTTTATGTTGTGTGACACGTGAAGAGGATGGTGTCCCAAAGAATACATTGGGTGGGGAGGTGGAGCAGCCGGAGGTAAAGGCAGTAGCGATCCAGAGCTGCGCATCAAATGCGCCTGGAGCTGCTGAAGGTGCATGGGATGCATCCCCAATGCCGGGCTGATGGCTCCCGCCGATAGATGGCCATAGGAGCCACTTGCACTCGACGACCTGGATCCATTGACGATGGAGGCTAGGGAATTCGGGGAAAATCGTATCATGGAATTGATATCGAAAGAATCCGAATAGGGGGAAGACGAGAGGGCTCGTTTTCTGGAAGCTCGGATGCTGCCCGGACGCGGACTGTTGAGTCTAGAACCTGCAAAAAAAAAACAATTATAATAAAGGTAATAAACAATATTAACTAACGGTAAACTAACTCTTTTTTCTAGTTTGATGGTAATATATTTACTACTATTTGAACTCAGTTTTTATGCAAATAAGATATATTTAATAAAAACTAACCAGTAATAAAACTGAGTAAAAGGATAAATAAAGGAAAAAAAAATATCAATGATTATTTAAAATGACCAATTTACTTACCATCTATACTGAAAGGGAATTCTGTACTGCCTAAGGTAGATGAAGGATGCACCTCAGTAAGACCCCTTGCACTCAGATATTCTGGACTCAAGCCTAGTCCTAAAACAAATAAAAATGATAGTCACTTGTCGTTATGCACCTTACTATGTACGAAAGCAATATTTACATTTGTGAATGTTGTAACCTATTGTTTTAGCCTTTTCAGGAACTTTTAGTTGACTTTAAATATAAAACAAACAAGATCATTCTTAAATACCCATTTATAAACAAATTTGGCTTAGGCTGTTTTGGCGCAAACTTATTTGTAATATATTTTTTATTGTTCTAGATGAGAATAATGATGATTCGAGTGTAAAAACTTAATAAATGGGTTGTCGAACCCTAAGAATCAAGACAATGATGAACCAGAAGGCAAATCGCACCAACATTCCAGAAAGAGAGTAAGAAATCTTGAAAATCATGTAAGGTATAAAAGGAAGATATCCAGGGAGAAAGGAAAAGAATATGTCACGGAAAAAGGAAAATGTAAAAATGCTAAAGAACTCGTAGTTGCACCATGTTCGTGCAAAATGAAGTGTCATATTTCTACTGAACTGAACATTTCTACTGAACCAAAGCAAAGCATCTTTAAAAAATACTATTAGCTTAACTGGCCAATGAAAAATGCTTTTATTCAAGGTCAAATAAAAGTAGAAGACAAAAAGAGAACTTATACCCAAAATCAAAATTCACAACTCGTATATATACTTTACCGGATGAAAATATTTGTGAAAAAGTGGTATGTAAGAACTTTTTTAAAAACACAGTTTCCATTACAGATGGAAAAATTTCATTAGCTTTAGCATGAAAATACGAACATGGGACACCTCTTCAAGATGCAAGGGACAAACATCCACCCCTTAATTAAACCAATATTGAAGACGAGCAGTATTTATGTAGCTTCAGTGAACTGTTCCCAGCATACGAATCCCATTACTCCCGACGAGATAAAATAAAAAGGAATATCTTTCACCAACTTTGAACATGTCGGTTATGTATCGAGAGTATAAAAAATGCACAGAAGACTTAAGAAAACACCTCTCGCTGTTTATGTTTCGCAAAATTTTTAACACCAAGTTTAATTTGCATTTTCAGCACCACATAAAGATACTTGTCAAAAATTTGACAGTCTTAATACTGAAATAAAATCATCTGATACTTCAGAACAGCATAAACAGGATGCAAAAGTTGAATTGGAATTACACCAAAGAAAAGCAGGTGCAGGTCAAGAATACAAAAAGCAAAATATAATTAAAACAAAAGAATCACAGAAAAAATATCAATTTTAGCCTTTGATCTTCAGAAAACGCTTCTTAATTATGAGTTAGGGCAGGTGTAGTTTATTATAAGAGACAACTGTGGATATAATTTGGGCATACATGATAAAGTCACAGAAACAGGACAGGAGCTCTTGACGAGAGGATCTCAAGAGATAGCTTCATGCTTAGCAAATCATCTTGAGGATCACTTACATGACCCAACCGAATATCCAATATCCATATAACCAACCAGAATCGGAATATAAAGGTGGCTTTAATGTTAGGAAACTATCTGGACATAGTTTTAATACATGCGATCAAGATTTTGGGTTGATTTAAAAGGAGAGAAAACACCATGATCGAATTTTTGATCCCGATGATTGGGTTTCCATAATTCAATCGGCAAAAAAAGAAATCCAAAATTCCAGGTCAAAGGAATGAACTCACTAAGAGATTTTTAGTAGCAAGTCGCTTGAGAATAAGATAACAAATAGAAAAGTTACTATAACTGGCGAAAAAGTTGAATGGCTCAAAATTCAACAAATAAGGTATATTAAAAACGAACAAAAAAAATTATGTAAAATATGCAGCACAGAACATGGGTTTGTTACATGAGGTTGATTTAAACAAGAAAACCAAAGGCCGCCCATCATCATCATCTACTGTAATGCTCCACATTAGCTTGCTTCATTTTAGTTCCACAGCTTTTATTCTGGATTGAAAGATAGTTCAGATGCATTAGATGAGGGCTTAGAAGAAGCAATTATACATGAAAATTAAAAATACGCACTAGAACAAGTTTTTAGCTTATAAGTTGGAGATTTGTTTTCTGTTTATCTTAATTTTTGTTGTGGACAATTTACTGGTTTTACCTTTCTGGTACTAGTGTAATAAGCCGGAACCATGTTTACGGAGATGAAATTTATATCAATGAATTCTGCTTCACTTACTAATAATTGTGCAATGATTTTTATGCGGTGCAAGACGTTATTTTTTATGTAATTTCCATTTAAAAAATGCCCGATTTTTAAAAGCCACCGCCATTATTCGCCATTATTTACCAAGAAATGACAGGAATGACAACTGTTCCTTATGGTCAAAAATGGTAATTTTAACCAGTGTTGCCATAGTTATTCAAAATTATGTTTTCTAATTAAAATAACATTTTATTATTACCTACTTTTAACTGAAAATTATACCTTTTTTACAAGGGTCAGGTTAGGTTTGGTCACGTTTCTTTACGTTTATTATCATATTTTCTTATGAAAAATAAAAAATTTGATTTTTAATTATATTCCTACTTTTAACTGAAAATTATACCTTTTTTACAAGGGTCAGGTTAGATGTGGTTATGTTTCTTTACGTTTATTATCATATTTTCTTATGAAAAATAAAAAATTTGATTTGTAATTATATTACAAAATTTTATTCTTATTACTGCTTTTTTACGAGCGTTAGGTTAGGTTTAGTTTTATTGTCATGTTTTCTTATTGGGTTAGATTTGGTTTATTGGTTTGCATTTTTAATAATAAAATGTAAATGTAATTTTCATTAAATTTTAAAATTTAGGTATTTTAAATGTTAAAACTGGCAACAATGTCAAATGTACATAAAATTTAACTTCTTGCGCATGGCCGCCATATTGTTTTGAAATATTAAAAATCTTGATAATTTTAAACAATTTTACGCATTTTTTCATAATTTTACCAAAGAATATAGACGCTTATATAGCGTCTATATTCTTTGATTTTACTGTAAAAATAGTGATAATTAATATGTTTTAGTTACGTTTTTTTTATTAAGACATGTATATATACTTTTCTTTGCTTTTTATGTAATTTTTTTTGGTTCATAATACTTTTTTTTTATATTTTTTGTGATTTTTTTGATTATTTGGGCACTTTTAATAGTTTAAAGCAAAGAAAACATTAAAATTTGAGGTTTTTTTTTCACTTTTTCGGCCAAGTCCACAAAAAATTGGGCATTTTTAAGGCGTTTCGGCTTAGTAAATAATTACCAATTTTCTTTATGGCAAATGTTTCAAAATACAAGTTTCTCTAGGAGTATATGTTTTTGTAACTGCAAATGTGCCTATACTTTTTGAACACAGAATTATAATAATAAAACTTAGGTGAGATTTTTCCTTAAATGTTGTTTCAAGACATTTAAGAAAAAGTAAAGTGGTACATTTTTTTATCATAAAAATTGTATTTTTTATCTAAAATTAACTTTGACATGATTTATCACACAAACTCCACTTTGTGGCTTGATCACTTTTGCCTCTGAGCCACTCACATAAATATAATACCCTTAAGAAAGTTAAACACACGCCTCTAAAATATCTAAACACGCCAAAAAGAAATATTTTAATAACAGATAAAATAAAATAATCTACCTAGTAAAAGTAAACAAAAGTATTCAAATATTTAAAATATTCATAGTCCCATTATTTTCTACATACAGGCTGGCACGCACATCACGTGTTTCTTGGCCGAAAGACAGTTGGTATAAATATAGCTTAAGGCAGTTGTCTTTTTCCTTGCCTTTCTTTGGTTCTGAAAATAGCGCCGGTGAAGCCGGTGCAACGGATCATTTAGCAAATAGTCATCAACTGATTTTCTGTACATGTTTTTGACAGCTTAGTGAGCCATACTCTTCCGCTTATTCTAATTTTAATGCTTTATGAGGATTGTAGGAAATGTGCTGTAAAACACAAACTTCTGTAATTTTATGTAGTCTATTAAAATTAGTATAACTTTAAATTATATTTTTATTCCTGAATTAGATACGATGAGAACAATGATAAATTTATGACATCGTAGAACTCTCAGCTCGTTATAATTTTGGATAACTGAGCTTAATAATCCGCTTATAAAGAAATTGAAGTATTCGATGAAATTCTCAAAAAGAAGAATATAATCGTGATATTTTGGCCGTCGTAATTATATTATTTCGTATTATTTTAATTACGTAATTCATCCCCAGACATTTGCCCCCTCTCCACTCTTTTTATTAGTAGCAGCTTATTTCAATTCAAATGTTTCTTGATGGCTTTATACGATTTTTTAGCCTAGCACTTTTGATTCTACCCACATGCCAGTACATTTTCTAAACACAGCATTAAATCTAGAGTGGATCTATGCCGTTGAATAAAAAAACACGTGAATAGATCGGTCTGTGGATGAATAGTATAGTGAGAGATAAGACTTTAGCGCTCGATAAAGCTCTTTCATATTTTTGATATAGTTTTTCCTTGGAATATTTCATCATGATCTGGACCCGTGACATAAAGCCGAATATTTAAAGATTGCTGGACCGTTGATAGAGACCTTTTTATTTAAGTTTTCAATATACGTTCTATTAATTCTCTAGCTCTTTGTAAAGTCAGCACGGGATCCGGTATCTTTATAAGAAAAGCAACCTAAGAACATCTTCAACGAATTTTTAACTGATTGAATGATATGAGCTGTTCTAATTTTGAAGTAGTTCCTCCTTATTGCTTGAGCCCTTGTCATGGGGTGGTGACACTATAGCTAGTTTGCTGTCTGCATTGGCTGTGATTCTGTGCCATATGGACCACTATATGTAGGGATTTTTCCACCAGTCTTCATTTGGTCTGTCCATCGTGTTGGACATCTTCCTCTTGGTCTTCGGCCTTCTACCTTTCGTTCTACTACCAATACTTGGCCCCCGTTCTTCTAGCTACGTGGCTGAAGTAATTTAGGTATGTTCGATTGCTCGGTTTATATTTCTTTAATAGCCTGTCTTTTATATGAATCTCTTCCAAAATTGAGAGGTTGGTTCTATGTTCTGTCCAGTACACGCGTAGCATCAGTAGCGTACCTAGAATTTTCCTCTGGGAAGGGGGGGTTTGGTTGGGCACCGAAATATTTTTTATGATGCTAACTCCATTTTGAGCCCTTAAATGTGTGAGTAACAGTGTAGGAATAGGGCCCTGGAGAAGGGGGGGCTTTAACCCCCATAACCTTCCTGGGTGCTCCACTGCGTAGCATTTTTCTATATATTCACATTTCGAAGGCTTCGATATCACTCATTTCGATTTTTTGAGAGTCCATGTTTCAGCTGAGTATGTAGCAATGGAAAAATAAGGGCATTGACCAACTTGAGCATAGTATTCCTTGTTATTGTTCGGTCTTTCCAAATTTTAATTTTTTGACTACAGTTCATTTTTAGCAGTTTATAATATAATACACAATATGCTCCAGGCATAGCTTTTACATTTAATACTGAGGTTTTCCATCTTTTCCGCACTTGTTTTCACTGGTAAACTGTAGGGGACCTTCTTCTCTGTTGTTTCTAATGATCAAGCCAAATGATCCGACAATATCTCTCAAATCTTCATTTTCATTTTTTCCCACCTTGGTGTTAAAGTCTCCAATAACATATAGGGACCGGCTCATTTTGAGGGATTTTATGTGTTGTAGTTATTACTCTAATCAAACAATTTCTCTGCTGTTGTACCAAAAAGGGCAAAAAGCAAAAATATATGGGAATAACAGTTTTCTGCAATCTTCAATAGTCCGGCTCAGATATTTTTATATTCAATCGTATCGTTCCTTCACCATGAAAGAAGTTAATAAGTGGTTTTTTTTTTCGGTCTGGTTGTTTTTCTTCCGTCGTTTTGGTACAGTTGAGTCATGAACAACAGAAGAATAATTTTTGCGTGTGATACGTCTTGTTGAGGTTCTTGACTCATTTACCTTTGATGTAATTTACTTTCCATTATTAAGAAAGCTTCTTTTCTTACCTTACTGTATTTGCCTCTCTTCCAAAATTTCTGTTTTCTGTTCACCTCAATATTTCCAGTGTATTTTTTTGCTTCAACATCTTATTTAGAGTCCTTTGACTTAAATCACGACCTTGGCAATATCTCTTTTCGCCATTCGTCATTGATTGCATCTTTAAAAATACGAATAAAACAAAGTTCAGCCTACTTCAGCAAAAAGAATTTTTCTAAAAAAACATAAATACAACACGCCTGTACTTAATATTTATCTCATTAGTCCCTAACTGTCAGTACCTGTCGCTACTTAACGTATTGCCAACGGCTAAAACAAGCATAATTGTAAAAAATTTGACGCGTTTACACCAATTCGCGGAATTATTTATATTATTTATGTATTAAGTAGAAAATGATTATAATTATTGATCTTAATTGTTGTAACACATGTACAAAAAGGAGTGAAAAATACAAAATTAGGTATAAACATGAAGCCCATTTCATGCATGTTAAAAAACTTAACGTACAAGTAAAACGGTTGTTAAGTAAAACGTTTATAATTTCAATAATTTTTAAAGTGGATAACTCGATGTCTTTTCGCGTTATAAGTGGATACGTCGCCAGATACGAAAATGCCACTGAACCATTAAAAATCATACCAACAGACTGAATTTTTCCGAGAATATTAATTTTGGGACCACAAAAAAGAAGCGAAAATTTTTATCACTTTTCCCCCCGGGCTTCTCCCTAAAACCCCCTTCGTAGGAAGATAAAAGCTCAAAAAAATCGATTTACCAATAATCTGTAAGGAGAAGAAAAAAATGTTTTAATAAAAAATGCAGCTAAGATAATTTTAAACAAAAATGTTTATTAGTAATTTATGTATAGAATGAACAGTTCTGTTAGAAACAACGCTTGAAGCGACCGTCGATATCTTCTGGTTCAAGTATCCTATCAACCAAAATCAAGATGCGTTTTAAAGTTCAGCTTTTTTATGCAATTTTTGTATTTTGCCGCAAATAAACTCAAATTTTATAAAGGTAAGGTAAATAAACATGTTGCGATTTTTACATTTTTTATTATTCTCATGATATCTATACAATTTATCCCTTTCATTGACTGGCCACTATGAAGTTTCGATAACTAGAGCCTAATCTTCAAAACCTTTAGCAGACAATTTTAGTTTTAAGTTTTGGCAACAAATGTGAGGCATTTGAAATATACTTAAAAAACGCTGGATAAACTTTCACATAAAAAATGATCTAAAACGTTTATAACTTAATTTTTTTCAATTACACTATAGATTGTCTCAAAGTCTATAAAGGGTAAATACACAACATCGATACCATACTTCTTTGCAAACTTATATTAAAATAAACGTCACTTCTTACTACTTAGCCTAATCGATCTTTTGTGTTGAAGGTAGCTTAAGTACTAATGCCCACTAACGACCCTGCCTGGCTTCCTTCTGTCAGTGGTTCTCAAATATAAATATTATTTGCTACAACATACTTGGGTTAAATTAAAATAAAATAGAAATTAAGAAATGCCTTTTATTTGTTGTCACACAAGCAGTTTGTTTTTAATTCTACAGTATGTGCTAGCAATACAAACCTTTTGTTTATAGATTTACATAAAATCGAATAAAATAAAACTAAAATATAAAGAAACATTTTATTTATGTATTGTTCCGTTCAAAAGTTAAGGGGGTAAGGACTTTTAAAAACCGCACTGTATATGTTGGCAGTAATAAAACGTAGAAATATCCGAAAATAAAACTAATAAACAAGTTGAAAATAAAAGAAGTCATTGTATTTAATTTCATGTGTAAGTAATCGTAATTGTACATCATTATATTAAGTTCCTTTTTCTGTCAATCACTGTTACATTTAGTTTCTGCTTAACTATCACCATCATCATTATTATCGTCACTGTCATCACTATCTCCGTTATTTATATTTATAATAATTGGTTCGATATCATCCAACAAATTGTCAATTTCCCACATTTTTTTTCTGTTGGTATTGCGTGGTTTACGTAGTTTTTCAATTTCTCTGGCGTAATGACCTGGTACGGTGCTGTAATTAAATTTCGCATTTCAGCTTCTTTAAAATTCGCGTTGCGTCCAGCTATACCGTTTCACTTCACTCCAAACAATGTCGATGGGATTAAGTTCACAGTGATAGGGTGGCAGCCTCAGAATCTTCACATTGTGCTTTTGGGCAATATCTTCTATTATGTACCTGTCATATTTTGCTTTGAAGGCCTTGACTACATCAAATAACTGGCATTTTAGGTAATCTTCTTCAAAAAATACGTCTTTTGACAGAAGCCATTCTTGAATATCTTTTTTTAGTGTGGAACTGTTGGGAATTTGTTCTGACTTTCTGCTGTGATAGGAGGCATTGCCCATTACCACAACAGTTTTTTCTGGCAAATTTAGCATTAAGTTATTTTCGAACCAATCTTTGAAGGTCGGTCCATCCATTTCGTCGTGGTAGTCCTGAGTATTTTTCTTTGAAAACAACGTGAGGTCTGCTTCATCAACAAATCCACTGGTAGATCCATTCTTGAAAACCTTTTTTAGTGTGGAACTGTTGGGATTTTGTTCTGACTTTCTGCTGTGATAGGAGGCATTGTCCATTACCACAACAGTTTTTTCTGGCAAATTTAGCATTAAGTTATTTTCGAACCAATCTTTGAAGGTCGGTCCATCCATTTCGTCGTGGTAGTCCTGAGTATTTTTCTTTGCCAAAAACGTGAGATCTGCTCCATCAACAAATCCACTGGTAGATCCATTCTTGAATATCTTTTTTTAGTGTTGAACTGTTGGGAATTCGTTCTGACTTTCTGCTGTGATAGGAGGCATTCTCCATTACCACAACAGTTTATTCTGGCACATTTAACATTAAGTTATTTTCGAACCAATCTTTGAAGGTCGGTCCATCCATTTCGTCGGGGTAGTCCTGAGTATTTTTCTTTGCCAAAAACGTGAGGTCTGTTCCATCAACAAATCCACTGGTAGATCCTGCGTGCAATAAAACGAACCGTGTACCACGAGCTGTTGGAGTTTTTAATCCTGTTGTCAGACCACGAACAAAAGCAACGCGATTAGATGTAATTGTTTTATCAACCCATTCTTTTTTCACACTGTGTCCGATATTTACCCATGATTCATCCAAATACACTATGTTGTATCCTTCTGCACGGTATTTACGAATTGCGCGTAAATAACGATGATGCCACGAGATGATTTCTGGTTTTTCAATCAAAATTGAATTTCTGCCACGTTTTATAAACACAAAATCCAGATCACTCAGCAAGCGATATAGCGTGGCCCGTGAAAAGTTGGGCAAAGTTTCTTCGACATTTACAACAGCTAATATGGTATTTATTGTTGGTGGTATGTTGTCACGAAAAAATTAATGAACTATTCTACGAATTGGGCCCCTGACACCTTCATCGTACTTGTTGTCACGAGAATTACCAACCTTTCGCTTCTTGGGCCTACTCTTTCAAGTTGGGTTACCAAATAACCCAAGTTTTTTGCCGCTACCAAGGCACCGCAACCTTTCCTGCAGTGATAAAAATAAAATATAAAATATATAAGAAGCAGGCGGTTCTTTTATTTTTAATGGATGCAACCATCCATCTTTTGAAAACCACTCCCAGTTAGTTGGCTGAATATTGAAGTTTCCAAGCCACTGCTGGACCTGAAGGTAAGTCCTTTTTGAGTGCTCATCTAAAGCGTATATGTTCTATGACTCCATGAGTCGAATATGAATGAATGTATGCTTGTATATAAGTTTCTAACGTACAGAATACAAAAACCACACCAAACTTACATTATTATGCTTCCAATTGGATTTCACCATTTTCCCAACAAAATTTATTGGTTTTTTAACCGTAACTTTTTTATTTTTCACCTTAGAAAGTTATGTAAAGAAACATTTTGTAAGGTTTTACAAGATCTGCAAGGCTATTAATTTTAAATCCTTTTGAAACCCTTTTATCTTATCTGAAAAAATTTTGACGTGAGAATCTTAGTTTTTTCGACTATTAAAAATTATGATTTTTGCCCTCAGCCTAAGCAAGAAGATTATAGCAAACAACTCTTCTTTACATGAGGGTGGTATTTGCTCAAAAATGGACAAAATAAGGCACAGCAAATATACAGATATATAGACACAATTTACGAATACAGTGCCTTGTGCCGTCCCTGTTCGGAATTGAGGAATACCTGGCACCAATCTAAGCATAACAATAAAGAGCCTGAATAAATAAATAGCTGTCAAATTAGAAACATCTCTGCATAATTCTCAAGTGTCTCAAGATAAGAAGTCTAGGGATTTTGTAGAGAAAAGAGAGATCAAAGCGACTTTCTTTGACCACTTCAACAAAGTTCGTGGTAGTTTACAATCGCCCATAAAAATGAACCAGAGAATAGCAAAGGACTTTTACGACAGGGTTTGTGAACACATGCATGAACTGTTGTGTGCATATGGCTTGGTCGTATAAATCTATTTCGGTTCACATTTTCTCAATGGTCTGCTTTTAGTTGTAGTTTTATTTTACATCTTTGTCACACAAATGCGTATTATTATTATGGTTTGCCATTGTATGTATTTACAGAATTATATAGGATGTCTCTTTCATCATAGCTGATATTATTGTGTAGTC